TTGGCTGACACAGCAACCCCCTTTTGCTCATGGAATACACTGAAGTTTGCGTCGTTTTCTTTACTCTTCTCCACAAAAAGTTCCACGACTTGAGCACATTTGTTCGATCAGTTGGATCAAAGCAGGCAAAGACGGTCACAGAACCGCACAGCAAAATAAAGATAGACGTTACGACAATAAAAACAACCAACCAACGAGGAATAAACGCCGCCATGCGGCGGTCAACTGAGCCAAAGTTGAGAACAACACAATAACCAAAGACGCTCTTTCCCCAACGGAAGAACGCCAAAACAAATATTCATCATCCATTGTCTTAACGTCAAACATAGAAGGATTAAGATAAATAAAAGGCAACCATTCAACGGTTGTGGGAGTTGCCATCATCTTCGGCATCTCCATCGGGAGAACCGCCTTCTCCCGCTTCATCTTCCTTCTCAGAATTCACATCTGCCTCAGACCACGCCCCGATCGCATCCCAGATCTCGTCGGTACTCCAAACCGCAGCAGGCTGATCTTCGCGAAACCAATGGCGAATTGCGGCAACCGCATTCCCAACAATGGTCTTGTACTTCTCATTGTCAATGGCCTCAAACTCAGCAGACTTCAAGTACTCCGGACCAGCTGCAGCACGGACCGCCTCCAACTCTGCTTGATGATTCTTCCTTTCCAACTTCAGCGAATCTATCTCTTTACGGAGGGAATCTTGCTCTTCCAGCAACAACTTCTCCATCTCACTTGACTTCTTAACACGATCTTGCAACTGGGCTCGCTCCAACTGCACCTTATTGACCGCTTCCCTTTCCGCAGCTAGGTCTTTCTCCTTGCGAGCCAGCCGCTCCTCGAAATCCAGCTCCACCAGCGAACGGATCTCCCCCATCAAAGCCTCTCGGCCTTCACTTGCGCTCTTTTTCAGTTTAGCGATCTCCGCAGCTTGGTCATCCACGGTCTTGGATAAGCGGTCGTTGTTCATCAGAATTTGCGAAAAACCAATCTGAGCCTGCAACAGAAAAACCAAGAAATATGAACAAGACCGCCTACGACAACCCGCAAAGATAAAGGCAAACTAAACTTACCGCAAAGAAAAACTGAGTCGCAGTTCCAGCAAGGCGCCTGCTGTCACCGCTGGAAGAGGCTGTGTACTCAGAGGGCATCACGAGTTGGTCGCAGATGGTGTGGAACGCGAGCTCAGCCGCCTCACCATCGGTGGCCGCTTGAGGAGGAAGATCAATCTGACTCAGCTTCATCGACGGAGCCACTCCCTTACCACGGTTTTCACCCGCCTTGGAGCGAGGCGAGCCAGTCCTCGACCGCTTGGGAGCACCAGCGGGAAGGGAGGATTCCAACACCCTTTTGCCCGCAGCCCTGGTAGTCGCCGCAGGCGAAGCCGCTTTTTGGGCGGGAGAAGGCGGAACCGGCTTAACCGCAACTGACGGAGCCTCCGAGGGACCCGCTCCCCGGGGATCAGCTCCCTTCACCACCACTCTCTTCTTCTTCGGGCGAACCGCATCTGCCAAAGCTCTCAGTCCTGCAAAGAAAGAGCATAAGTAAACTCATATGAGCATATGGAAGAAATGCAACAAAGGATGTACGCTACTAACCATAAAAAGCGCGAACATGCTCGTAAGCACTCCCCGAACCGCTGGGAAACACATTCAAATGAAAGCCTTCGACAAGGCGGTCCACATGATCCTTTACTGAGGTGGAAAAATGGGCTGATGAACACCACGACTCCTTTGATCCAACCGCAAAACCAGTGGGCGGAGCGGTCTCTCCGGAGTACCACTGCCCAGTGGGTCGGGCAAAGAAGTACTCCCGATACCAAGGGGAGTCTAACTTAGGCGTCCCAGTCACCAGGCCAACAGTGCGGTCCCGTCTCCCTATTGACCAGCAGTTGGATGTATCTCGAACCTTATACAGTAACCGGAAAGCATCGAAGGAGGACGTCTCCTTCAAGCGGTTACACGCATACCGATACATGACAGAATGAAAGATGATTGAAGGAGAGAGGCGACCAAGGGTGCACCCTAGCCAGTTTAGGGTTTGGGTCAATATCGGTTCCAGAGGGAACCGCAATCCCAGTTTCACGTGCTCCACGAAGATAGGAATCCAACCTTCGGGACACGACCCTGATCTGCACTCTTTGGTGGGAGCAGCATAATCCCACTCTGAAGGAAGTCCCAGCGCGTTCAGACGATGAAGGACCTGAGCGGGCCTCAAGGCCGCCACGTGTTTTGGACCGCACTCCAACACCCCGTCAGGAATTGGTTGGCTCTCCCACATGCACTCATGACGAAGAATCGTGTAGGTAGCGTCCTGAATCGCCAACCGTGATACCTCCTCTCCTTCGGAGTCTACTACCTCCAGCGACGAGGAGGTACTGGCAACCGCCTCCGATCGCAACCCATCACTACTAATCGTCTCTTCTTCACCTGAGGAACCACTACCTAAATCTATCGCCCCAAACTCCCCTAAGTTATCCCCAACCGCAGAAGAAGTTGCGACAACCCCAGCTGGTACAGGCCGCGTGTTAGCAAAAAAGTTATCTAATCCTAAGGATCCCCCAAAAATACAATCGTCTAATTCCGAACCGCTCCCGAAGTACAAGTCCAGACCAGACAGGTCAAACACGCACTCGGAAACGCTTCGATCGGGAGGGGAACAAGTCGTACCTTGTGTAGGAGGAACCGCAATCCCAGAAGCGGCCGGCGCTTTCTTGCCCGGCGCGGCAGGAGAAGAACCCGTGGTAGGACGAGGGAGTTCCCCTTCAGGAACAGATGAAGCAGGGGGCACAGTCCCCGACACAGCGGCGGAGGAAAGATGAACCGCCGCGATTGGATCTCCAGTATGAGCGTCGGCGGCAGGCACCCCTCGGCTCGCTTCCTCGATCAGTGGGTCTCGACCTTCAACCGACATCTGCAACAACACGAACAATCCAAACGAGACCCGACGCACGAAAGCGAGCGGCGTCCCGATAGTGGGCAAAGAGCAGAAGAAGGATAAGAAAGGTCACCGCGACCAAACCATGCACAAAGAACTTACCGGAGGAGGAGAGTCGACTTTATAGCGGAATTCGCCGGGAGGCAGAGCTCGGAATTACGTCACAGAGGAGGAAGAAAGAAGAAGACAAGTTTTTCTTGCAAATAGAGCGACAATGGCAGCCAAAAGGGGTCTCAGCGACACTTATAGCAAGGTCCGGAGCCCAAGGTGTTAGAAGTGACGTTCGGGTTGTCTCTAACAACGCACCGCGCTCGAGGCGCGACACGTGGCAACGCCAGCGCCAGGAGCAAAGCGACTTGCGTCTAAACCGCCCCAACAGTCGTTCCCGCTCCAGCTTATCGCGACAAGGGGCAAATGAGTAACCATAACCATGGGCCGCAAGTTACACAACCCCATCAGACGAGTAACCATAACCATGGGCCGAACGTTACAGAACCGCATCAGATGTTAACAGGGTAGCCGCGACAACCCAAAGCTTCTCACGACTAAGGGGCAAATGTTGGGCCTAGTATTGGCATACGTGGGCCTGAAGCCCATGGTTATGAAAGCCCACAAAGACAGGCCAAGACAAGGTCAGTTTAACAATGCCCGACATGGAGACCGCCCGACATTTACGTCATCCATACGTCAGAAACCGCCCGACCAATGGGCTAAAATCCTGCTGTCAGAAGAAGTCTGACATTCGTACTGACAAAGCAGATAATAAAGTTAGAGGCGTCCTAGACCGCCTGACACAGCATTAAATGTCTTGATTCTAAGTCCAGGCCAGTATAAATAGCCCCAAAGGGGCAGCATTTATGGTAACTTCGATCAACCGAATTCTCTCTCTATACACACTTATACATTCCCTTCTCTCTCTAACTTAAGCTTCGGAGGAGGTCCCAGGCAACCCCTGAGGACCTTTCGTGCAGGTCTCGGAAGACCGCCTCCCACCTGTCAAGCCGCCAAAGGTCGTGGAGTCTCATATAACCGCCTGATACATCCCAGACACAAACAGTTGGAAAAGAGAGAAATGTGATGGTCCATATTATAAGGGAGCAAGGAGGAAACTTTCTTTATTTTTCCGTGTGAATGGAGGCTTGATTGAAAACTTCATGGCTAACAAAGGACCGAGACAGACGTGCTGATTCTCTCTCTTCTTATTTGTCCGTTGTGGTGTTTAAGCGAGTGTGATCCATGTCACCCTAGCTAACAATGGTGCTACAACATTTGATCGAGTTAGTTTGGTTTGCAATGCAAGTAGCGGGGAATATCTGATAGAGATTGTCGACGACCAAGCTAAGTGTCTTGACCAATCAATATGTGAGTTGGCTCTTAATAGAGTATTCAATGATTTTCGTGTTTTTACTTCAAGAGTGGTAGTACGAAAATCGTAACATGCGTCACATTCTATGTTTAGATGTTGACGTTTGAAATCATACAATCATCTAAATAAATGTCATCGTACATTTAATTTATATTCGGTGGTGTGTATATTTTATAAAAAAAGAATGATGTTAAGTTTATGCACCATTTTGTGGAAGAAAGTGATGTTTTTTTGTTTATTTAATTGACTAGTTACCGATTTAACGATAAAACGTTATAGCAAAGAGTGGCTTTCTTTTTTTGTTTGAGTAGTAGCTAGTGACTAGTGCAGGTCCCCTATGTTACAGAGGAGGAATCACAAATGCAATGTCATTGACCATTAATGCAAATTATTGTAGCGAGTAGTGACTTTTTCTGAACGAATTGTAGTGACAAACATGAAACAAAATAGTAAATTCAGTGATCAAATGTGCAATTTACTATATTTTCCCCCGACTCTACAGTCTACGAGCCTTTTGGGCATTTTGTTATGATTATTTAGTCAGCCCATGAGCCTGAAGACCAAGCCGCTCGAGGCCCATTGGAGTTTAGCGTTTACAAAAGAAAAATAAAAAATAAAAAAAGAGAGAGACAGAGAGTAATTATATCAGAACAAAATGGCCCACAGTAGGATCGGATGGAGTGAGTCGAGAAACGTCCAGAGTCCCAAATGGTTTACCCGTTACTCAGGAAACGCGCGAAAGATCTCGAAGCCGCGAGCCTGTGTTTACCCGTTATCCCGTTTGAAAATCCACCTCCCCTCCCTTATAAAATGGCGAAGCTATTTGTCTGTGCTTCTGCAATAAGGAAATCTGCAGATAACTCAAAGCCTTGAAAGTCGCCTGAGAAGAGAAGTTGAATCTTAGTTCCCGGTTGGTGGATCGCCGTTGAGCTGATAACTGAGTCGTTTGGATTGTGGCCCGTTTTGGCTGGAAGTTCTTTACATTTTACAGCATCGGCTCCCTTGAAAGGTAAGTGAAATCTCTCTTTGATCTTCGTCTTGGAACTTTGAGTTCTTAGGAACTGAACCCTTTGTATGTACTCTAGCTCTGCGATTTGGTGGTTTTGGGTAATGGAAATGCAAGGTGAAGGGGGGAATCGTGGAATTTGATTGGACCTGATTAGGAGTCTTTTGAAGGGTTTTGAGAATAGGGTTCAGAATTGAAGTTAGGTTTTCTCATTGCTGTCTCGTTTTAGTTGTTACTGGCTATTTTTCTCAGTGTGGTCTAAATGCCTAGGATCATAGCAGAAGCCAAGTCATCTCACTTGTTTGTGATCCGCAAGCTGGCTTAGTTCTGGATAGTTTCTCTTTGTTTCGGCAATTCTATTTTCCCCGCAACTATCTGAAGCATTCAATGATTTTGTCATTCAATTTTATGCTTTCTGTTGTGTTTTTCTTCCCTACCATATCTCTGATCTTACTTGACCTATCATATATGTTGCGTTTGCAGCCTCGTTTCTAGCGGTTCTATTGTATAATCTAAATCCCGGGTTCCTTGGGATCCAACAGCGTTTGTCACAATGTACCCCGAGCCGAGATACATGCCTCCCGCATATTGGTATAGCCCAAGTCCTCGAGCTTTCCCGGCTGACAATTCATTCAAACCATCAGCCGCTTGTGAGACTTGGGCGCCATCCTTAAACAATCATGGCTTCCCAGTTCCAGGATATGGCTGCTGCGGCCACCCTTATAACCTTCATTACCCCTATGCTGGTCCATCTCACCAATTTCACTGTTTTGGGCATCGCCCACCATATCCTGGTCCCTTCTGTACACCATACCTTCCTCCACCTTTTTATTACCAAATGGAGCAGAACCCAAATGGTTATGGCGGAGGCGATGGTTTGAGCAGGGAGCCCTCTCATTGTTGTGGATGTCCAAATCACAGTCACGGCCAGAAGAATGCTGAGATGACGAAAGCGGAAGAGAAGGAGCCTGACCCTGATCAGAATCAGGATGATTCCCTGGTTCCACTTCAGATAAAGGACAAACCATATCCAATTGTGTGGGTTCCAACTGGAGATAGAAAGAGCGCGAATGATGGCAAGGCACCTGAATCAAGGATTGAGAAGCTGCCATCTAAGGAGCGTGCAACGACGTCGGATGGTTGGTTTCCTCTTGATATGAAGGAGCTTGCTTCTTTGCTTGGAGGTGCTGATAAGAAGAGAAGTCCAAGTCATCAAAATGGTGACCAGAAGGAGCAGCTTCAATTTCCATTGGTTTGGTTGCCTTCCCATCAAAAGCAGGACAAAGGTGTCAATGAACTTGGGACCAGCAATGTCTCTAAGGCTAGCAAGTCTCCTGAGGTCAAAGAAAATTCTAACAGTAGTCAAGGTTCAGAAGAGAAGGCAAAACGTGAAAAGACCATCCCTGTGGTGGAAGTAAGACCATGCGAGGAAGACGAGAAATTTAAAAGCGAAGTGAGTAGTGAAAATGTAAACTCTTCTGAAGGAGCCAAAGGCGATGTTTTGATGACCATAAACGGCAAATCCAAAAGGCAGTCACCCTCCCAGCCAAAGTCAGCAAGGCTACCCCCAGTGTGTCTGAGAGTTGATCCTTTGCCTAAGAAAAGAAATGGTGGTTCCAGGTCTCCTAGTCCGCCTGGTTCTAAAGGGAAGCTGCAAGAGACATCGTCGGACTCTGTGAGGAAAGCTGCTCCTCCGAAAGCAGAGGATGGCGAGAGAAGCGCCGACAATGGTATATGCAAACAAGTTCCTGAAAATAAGAATGGAGGAGGAAGATGCGCTGGAGCTGAAGATTGTGCTATCAGAGAGAAGACGGAAGAACAACCAAGAAATGAGGGGGACCTGAGAAATGAGTCAGCAGGTGAGAAGAAGGAAGCATCTGAGTCGTTCACAGTGAGATATGCTGGACCAAAAGCAGAAAATAAACAATTGTCAGATGGAGAGGCTGCTCGGCTTATCCAGTCTGTTTATCGTGGATACGAAGTGCGCAAATGGGAGCCTATAAAGAAATTGAAGCAAATTGCTGCAGTAAGGGAGCAGGTGACTGAAGTCAGGAACAAGATCCATTCTTTAAAACCATCTTCTGATCATCCTAAGGATGGTAAATCAAGAGCGATCATTGGTGAAATGATAATGAGCCTCCTGTTGAAACTAGATGGCATTCAGGTATGCATTTGACACCAAATAGGATTTCTAAATTCTTGTCTTCCAAGTTTTGCATAGAAGATGATATTTCTAGTTCTAGATAAATCCTTCCTTTCTGCAAGTTTGTGTCATAGAAAGTTTCATTTGCTCACCAAATTATCCGATAAAGTTATATTAAATTGGGAACTGCTGCTTGCAGGGCTGAGTGATTGGGTTTCTGAGAACCCAATGCTTAAATTTGAACAACTGTGATTCTAGGATGACTGAATTTCCTATCCTTGTTCAGTTCGGTCCACTTACAACTTATCTGAATATTTTCAATGCTTCATGGTCTGATTTTGTCATTGCTTCTTTCCAGGGTTTGCACCCTAGCCTGAGGGACATCAGAAAATCATTGGCGAAAGAGCTTGTTACCTTGCAGGAGAAGCTGGACTCTCTTGTAGTGAACAAGCCCGAAGAGACACAGGACAATAAGTGCCTTAGTTGTAATGATGCGCAATTGCAGCAAGAGAAACTACCAGTTCCCAGAGGACAGCTAGTCAACAAGCCATCACAACTGGGTCATGACATGGGGAGTAACTTGAGTAATGGTTGTGACATTACACAGCCTAATTTACCAATTGCCGGGGTGGGCGAAGCATCTCAGGAAATGGAATCACCAGCAATACATTATCAGGAATTCAAGATTTCTGATGGAGGTTCACTTCCTGAAAGGGATGAAGCCACAGACACGGATGTGAGGGCTGCTCATACCAATATCGAGGGAGGGGGATCAGAAAGCTGTGACGCTATTTCTGCAGGAGCAAATTCCCTCGAGGGTGCAGGTCCTGATCCAGAGGTGAAGCGACCATTCATGGCCAAAGTAGACGCAAATGAAATAATGCAGATTACTGATGGTTCTCATGATGATGGACTCGAGGGTTTGGCGATAGCCGATGATGAGGTGATTGCTCCTCGGGAGGAGGACACAGGAGAAGTGAAGCATATAAACTTGAGTGGTGAAGGGATCGGAGAAATGGGCTGCCCACTAGAATCACCTGAGGGAGTGACCGAAGAAGAGAAAAGTGGACCACTGATTATGGAGAATGATAGTCTTACAGAACAGGAGCAATCTGATGTAACTTCCAAAGTATCTGAGAACAAGGAACACAATGAGCCCTTGGAAGTCCTGGTACCAAAGAGTGAACCCGAGCATAATGTAGCTGCAGAACAAAAGTTGGATACCGAGGAGATGAAGCTGGTGACATGCACAGAGTCCTTAACTATGGAGAATACAGTCGACCAAGACGTAGATGCGGATACTGAGGTGAAGAAGCGGGTGGTATGCAAAGAGTCCTCGACCATGGAGAGTGAAGTCGACCAAGATGTAGCTGCAGATACCGAGGAGAGGAAGCTGGTGGCATGCACAGAGCCCTGGACTATGGAGAGGGAAGTCGACCATGACGTAGCTGCAGAGAAAAGCGTTGATCTCAGTGTCAAGGGTGAAAATGAAGCCCTTCATGACGTTCAGTATGCAGTATCAAAGGACCTGTCATCTGAATCTGAACGTGAAGTTCATTGTTCAGCAGATCAAATGCTCGAAGGAGACTCTCGACACAGCATCCCTACTTCCGAAATGCAACAGGAAATGCTCGTAGCAGCGGAGAAAGAGACGCAGCTGGAAGATGGAGGAAATGTTTGCTCGACCGAGACAGACCCCGATGTGGCCAGTCCTATCGTGTCTACAGAAGCTGTCGTCTCCCCTGGGAGATTGGAAGTCCTGCCCAAGGTAGGATTGGTAGCAAGTGAAGAGCAGAATGTTGATGACAGGAAGCTTGTGGAGGTGAACGCAAGGCTGAGAGAGACGATGGAGAAGCTGCTTGAGGCAGGGAATGAACAAATGGATGCTATCTCCAAACTGACCGGCAGGGTGAGAGAGCTGGAGAAGAAACTATCCAACAAGAAGAACAATTACGCCAGGCCGAGACGACGGAAAGCTGCAACTCCGCGCTGCAGATCATCAATAAAGGGCGCTGCCTCTGCTGCGTAACTGAGGCATGCTACTGCTTGCTTGGGTTGCGTTGCTGAAAAGCTTGTATCTTGTGTGTCGTCCTTGTTTGCTAATGATGTTATCACTGTGAATAATAATTGTGAGAAAACCGAATGAATAAAAGGGTTTTATTATTACACGAGAGCAGTTTTGATCTGTATAAAATTGTACTCCTGACCTGAGTTTGCTGAAACTCTGCTCAAGGTGACTGGGATTTTTCTCTGCAAAACACAGGTAGGAACACGTATTGAAAGCAGTATTGTTGTGACCATCTAACTTAAAACAAACATTTATAAATCGTACTACTCTACTACACACATGGATTGGTCAATTTTGGTTGTAAAAAGCAAGAGAATTGCCAAAAAGGAGAAAACAATGCATTTTTGTTTGGTACAAGACAAGACAAAACAGAAGCCAAAAAAAATGAAAACAAAAGCTGTACAGAAAATGGATGGCTCATTACTGGGCCCAACTTGGCCCACGGAAGACAAGATGAGGCCTTCAGTCCCGGAGCCCGGCAAGTGCAGGTACTAATTACCCATGTTGAATGCGAAGCTGGGCCTTCAGTCAGATCAGATGGCAGCATCGGATTTTCCCATTTGCTCGAGATGCCACGGCCGTGTAAAATGGAGGGGTAATCGTAATTCAACCAAGGTTCGAGAAGAAGTGAAATGTAGTTGGGTTGGTGGCATATGGTCTAGTTTCGTCTGCAGTGCATTAATAATAATAATGACATTATATATGTAGTCACGTTTAATCAAATTATCATCATATAAGTAATTTAATTTCTAGCTAACTCTGGGAGAGTACTGCTATATGTTCTAGATAGATATAAAAGGTTGTTTTGATTACAACTACTGCATGCCCACACAACACTTGAGTTGTTAGAGTCCAATGATGGCACTGTAATGGTCAAACCTGAAAATGGAAAGCAGTTAAGTTAAGATGTGGGAGAAAGAGAATGGAAACAGTACAAAAATATGGAAGAGTTAGTTGTTGGATCTCAATGCATTATATATATATATATATATGGATTTCTTTGATTAGTGAAAGTCAACAGTGGATGGTTAGGGTTTGAGTGGACCAAGAAGCTCCAACTGCTACACTGAATTTATGAGCATCTAAACATGTGCAGATCGACTGCAGGAGTTGTGACAATTGTCCTGATGCTGTGAACAGAGTGTATCCAAGTGCAAGTCACTGAGTGAGCATCTGGTTTCGTGGTGTAGTTGGTTATCACGTCAGTCTAACACACTGAAGGTCTCCGGTTCGAACCCGGGCGAAGCCATTGTTTTTCGTAACCAATATGAATCTCAAATCAAAGTTTGCGTTACGCGTTTATCAGTTTTGCTAGTTTGTTAATTCACACTAACACGAATCTCGTATCGCATATGACTTATATACTCCGGAAATCGATACTCTCACATAGTAGAAATCTCAGGAACAAATGAGATGTTTGTATCTACTAGTCCACCCTACCCTTCCAAGTTGCAAAGGTATTTTGTCATTGTGGCTCTGGATTGTGCATTTGGTGTTATTGTGTTGGGTAGCGTGAAAGGCAACTGAGATTCCTTGGACACTCATATACAAACATACAACAAGTTAAAAAAGGAAAAACCCTTCACCAAATCCACATCATTGGATTTCTCTGTTTTTTTTTTTAAAAATAAACTTACGATTCCAATAATAATTAGGGTAGTAGGAGTTGTTCAGATCCCCTACACTGATGAATTTTGCCTCAATTATTGACCAATTTATTGTTTTCTGCACATTGTGGATCTTCCTTGGAGGGACACTGGTCACTGGTCAGTAGCCACATGACAGTGGAGTGGATAATAAACAATTTTGCTCCTCCATCCCAATTTACTGTTCAACTACCCTGAATTTATGATTGACTATATGGACTGTGAACTGTACTTGCTTAGAGAGTAAATGAGGTTAGCTAGGTCAATCATTTTTTAGTGAATGTGGTACTTGTTAGGACTGTCGATACGGGCACGGTTTTTTTTTTAAAACCGTAATCGAATGTGTGGTTAGTGGTTAATCGTACATCACATAAAAGGGTAGTTGAAAAGGAACAGTCTGACTCTCTGAGGCCCGAGTTCAGCTTGACCCAAATGAAAATACGTACCCAACCCTTCTAATCCCGACCCAACTATTCCTCTTCGATTTCATCGGGTTCCTTTTGTTCTAATTTGTAGGGTTCCATTTCAATTTTCATCACCGAAGACTGCTCCCGCTGGAGGATCGACCCTGATTATGCTGCGATTCTGCCGAATAGGTAATGCGGGTTTTACTAGATTTACCTGGCATTTCTTAGTGTCGTTGGATGGTCAGATGAATGGATTATTTTGGATTTTGCATGTTTGGTTTCTTGTTTTTTTTTTGGTCATTAGGTAATGCGAGTTTTATATGGTAACACCGGGTAATTGCTACCTGTATAATGCGGTTAATGAGTATCCGCTAACTGCACGCGATGCATATATGGTAATGGTTAGCATACCCCGCTCTAAAATGGGTATGAGTAACATCCCTAAACAGTACGGATAACCGTAGCTGCACTGATTGACACCCCCTAGTACTTTGGGATTGTGATATTAGTAATTGTGAAGGAAAATCATGTTTATGGGATGTGCCCTTCTTTTAATGAAAAGTACATTTTTAAAGGATAAAAGTGAAAACGAGAGACAACAATACTAACTGAACAGCCGCAACAGTCACATATAAAAACTGAGGTCGTACAATCATTCATTTTCGAATGATTGCTTATGTCACATCTAACAAAAAAAATACAAGTATTGTGCATGCGCAAAAAAAAAAAATGTCGTATTCTAAAAAATACAGACATTGTAAGTTCGTAACAATCTCACTAACCCAATCCTAAAATCCAAACCACCCTCTCATTGTTAAACTGTGATCGAAGGTCAAGATCGGTAATTTGACCTAAGCAGAACCAGTGATGGCAGCCACGTCGCCGATAGTGAAGTCTCATTAAGAGGGTGTAGCACCAAACCAACAAAATTTTGTTACGTTAATTCGACAATAAATGACTCAAATTGGAAAGAAACAAACGTTTAGGTATCAAACTATCCATATAAGCAAAATTACGGGGCACAATCGCAACTTCTCCATTTCTTCACAGAAAAAGGTCGAAAGTGAAATCCAGCTTCCCTTTCCCTTTCCCTTTCCCCGGACCATCAGAGACAGACAGCGAAGGCAGAGGAAGGGCTTTACGGTCATTCTCCCTAGACACTGATCGGCGACAATGGCTTGCAGAGTTGGCAATGTCCATTCTGCAGCTTCACCACCAGCTTCCATTCCATTCTCCTCCTTCTTCTTCCCCACTCTCGCTTTCAGCAGTTAAGCTGCTCCAATCCCTTCACCCACCTCCACAGCTCCCCGCGCGCTCTCTCTCTCTCTGTCTCACTTAACTGCACCTCCAAGCTTTCTCTCTCTCTCTTTCTCTTCATTCAGAAAGCTCAATTCAATACTCCCTCTCTCTCTCACTCGCTCCCGAAATCCTCATCCTGCTGCTCGTCCTTCTCCGGCGGCCGGAGAGAAGATATAGAGAGGGAGAATGCCGTTGGTTAGGTTTGGAGTGAGGAACGAGTACTCGTTGGTCCAGCCGGAGCTCTACACGGAGGTCGACCGCGAGGACCCCAAGGCCGTGCTCGACGGCGTCGCGGTTGCCGGTCTCGTCGGGATCTTGCGTCAATTAGGCGATCTCGCTGAGTAAGTGAACCGCTGATCACCACTTCTTCACCTTCTTTTTTTTCCTTCTTATTTCCGTTTCTACTGTTCTTGACAGCTCTCTGTGTTGCTCGCAAAATTGATATTCGGGTTCCGAATTTTTGGAGGTTAATTTGATTTCTGGATGTTCTTGGTGGAGTGCATTTGTCTGATTAGACGGGGCAGCAAGGCATAATTGTGAATTGGAGTAGGATATGAGGTTCTCTTCCACTAGAATGGGGAAATTTTTTTAGTGCGAAACTACGATTGCTGTGTAGTAGAGGAAGTCAATGAAGAGAGAACTGTTGCATTAAACACAATAGTACTTCTCTGCTTGAGCCAAGAACGGAAAAAACAGAATTGGAGTTTTCTGGCTTCAGTGTTCAGTGTTCAGGCAATGTCAATTTGTCGTAGGGAGGATGGTAGTTGGGGAAGTGATATCGTGGTATGTTGGTGTAGGTTTGCAGCAGAGGTGTTCCATGGCTTACAGGAGCAAGTCACAAGTACAGCTTCTCGGAGTCACAGATTGAAGGTCCGTGTGCAGAACATTGAAGCGGCGTTGCCTCCTATTGAGAAGGCCATATTGGCTCAGAATAGCCACATCCATTTTGCTTACACGGCTGGTCTGTTTCTATAACGCCTTTCTTTTTTTACTGAGAATGCTCTTTGTTGATTTGGTTGTCTCTAGTAAATTAAGTTGCTTTAGGTTGTCAGCTTACGTTATGGTTTGATTGTTCACCGTATTAAGACGAATAGCTGCTTTGCAGGTTCCGAATGGCATCCTCGCATCCAGAATGAGCAAAATCACTTCATCTACAATGACTTGCCCCGTTTTATCATGGATTCTTATGAAGAAAGCCGTGATCCACCACGCCTTCATTTGCTTGACAAGTATGGTTGATCGTGCATCCATGATTATTTGAATTCAAAGTTCGGTATCAAAATGGGTTCTTATGGTAGCTTTCGCCTTTTCGTTGTCTTTCAGATTTGACACTGGTGGTCCAGGATCATGTTTGAAGAGGTATTCTGATCCAACCTTCTTTAGAAGAGCATCAGGTAGCTTGAGGGAAACAGGTGGCGAGAAAGTTCAAAGAGATAAGAAGGCTCGTAAAATCAAGGTAAGCTTTTTTCGGTGACAGTTTCTACTAGGTAGCCATTGTCTGTGTTTTTTTCTGTCAAGGGGTACTGCCATGCAATATTGTAATGTTTGAACTGTGTGCCTTTGCTTTGTATTCATTGTAAAGACTATGGCCTGTGACATAAAAGCGCAGCATAATCAATATTCAATCCAAGTGTTCTTACTACTTTGCTACAACTATTAACCACAAATGTTGCAAAATCTTCAGAAAAAGAGATCATTACAAAGGAAAGGAAGCTCATTGCGTAATGGGTCAATCTCAAGTCAAAGCACCAGGTATTTTATTGAAGAGGTTGAGAATGTTTTCCCACAATGGATGGTATTGAATTGTAACTTCTGATTGGCATTTGACTCTACAGATTTCAGTTTTTCCCGTCAGCTGGTAATGGAAGGACTTCTCCTTCCCACACAGCCTCTTCTATTGACATGACATTAAAGTCTGATCTTGGGGATCGCTCAAATTCTTTCGATTCAAGAACTGGGTCGAGTCATATTGAATGTGTTTTCCGTCCCAGTTCCTCCATGCAACCTGAGGAACAGGAGGAATCCGTTGAATTCTGTTCAAGGTCTTTCCAGCAAGATGATGATATCCATGAGTCCAGCTTTGCTGGTGAACAGCCTGGAGTTGCTGATGATAATTTTCTACACCCTTCATCACCAGAGCAGGTTCCTCCTCGTTCCACTTGTGTTACTTGGGATGAGAAGGAGGAAATATCAGAGGCCAAAAGTCAACACTCTGAAGGAGATGAAGCTCCAACAGATATATTGGGTGCAGATTCTGTCGCAGAAGATATACAAGAATTAAGAGCCGTTGCTGAGATTCACATTCCAAAAGACGTTCCATTTGAGGATGAGAATATTCGAGGGCCAAGTTCCATTTTCACTCGGCTTTATGATGTTGAGAGTGAACCTGACAACTTCATGGATGCTCTTAATACCATCGACACTGAATCTGAAACTGATGTTGATTATCAGACAAAACATGAAGTGAAACAAGGTGAATCATTATCTACCAGTGATGATGGAAGGACAGAAGATGTGCTTAATGTGTTGTCTGCAGTTGATACCTCAGATCATCGTCATCCACAAATTGATGATCACACTCCATCCGATACTTCTTCATGCAATGAAATGGCTGCTGATGTATTTGTCTCAGTCCCCCCAGTTAGTCCTGCTAAGGAACGAGCTCCTGAGGTTCCTGAAGTATCATCTTCTGCCTCCGATTCTGAATCAGGTACACTAGCTTCTACGTCTATTGATCCTCCGGATGGCTCAAAAGAAGTGGAATCTGCTGTTTTCGACCGGCCATCATCTGGGATTGCAGTGTCGGAAATACAGGAGCTGTTGCCTGATGAAGTGCTAAACAGTCCCGACAAGCCTCAAGAATCTCCAGTTCCCGAGTTATCCCGTGTTGAATCAATTAAGATCTGGACCAATGGTGGACTCTTAGGACTTGAGCCATCAAAGCCTCCTGATTTCAATATGTCAAATGCTGATCGTCATGGTTCAGAAACAAGTACAACTGAGGCGGAAAACTCTCCAACGCCAATTAATAATGGTGACACGAGAAAGCTAAACAAAGATGGCGAATGTATAGAAATACTTGCTGGTCCCAGAAGTCCTGCATCATTGCATGATGATAATGTTGCCAAAGCTGATAAACATTCAAGTGATTCTCACTGCAGAAGTAGATTCCACCCATATGGTGGTGGGTTAACTTCTAATGGGTTGCCACTTAGCACAAATGTCAAACCTACATCTGAAGAAGCAAGTCACGAGGATGACGAACACTCATCTCACATTTTTGGGCTTGGCCAAAGGCTACTTGCTAATGGATTTCGAAAAAAGATATCACTTGTGCCTTCTTGTGAACCTGAGATGCCTAACTCATCGCCTCAACAGAGTAAGCAACCTTTTGTTAAGTTTCAAGCAAGTCCACTTGACGTGCGGTTTGGTCATAAATCTGCAGATTATCATCTTACATCTTCACCGCCGCTCGAACACATGAAAATATCTTTCCAGCCTACCAATGATTTTGAAGCTTTTTCGAAGCTGAAACTCAAATTCCCTGATGGTAGTAACTACTGCAGTGAAAGCAGTAGCAGCAGGGATGTGTTTCCATCATTCCAGTTGGTTCCTGAGGCAGTTGCAACTGGAAGAAACGACGTGGCTTCTGACTCGGATGATGATGATGACACTTTCTGCAGATCATCTCCTTACATGTCAGACGATGATGGTCTCAGCCGGCATTCTGATATGGATTCAGAAGACCACTGGGAAGCTGGCGGGTCCCCAGAAAGCGTTGATGATGTGATTCCGCCAGCTGAGGAAACTGCACATGCTGAGAATGACGGTGCTGTTTCATGCCTCTCTGCTACTGTACTTGACCTTCCTAGTTTTGATGATGTAAAGCCCCCTCACCAGGAAGTAAGACAGGAAGATTTTGACCCATTGAGTTCCTTGGAGCTGTTGCAGCATCCCAAAGCATCGAGTCCATTGCCGCCTCCTCTCCCTCCAGCTCAATGGCGGCTTTCAAACCCCATTTCTGAACCACAAGCTACATTTGATGCTCATCAACCTAAACCAGCCCCTGTTATGACTCAGCAATCTAAACCTGCTCCTGCTAGTGAACAACAGCAGTCTCCTCAGGTTGTCGTTCCATTTAAGTTGAAGAGCAAGGTGAGCGACAATCATTTGGGTCCAAGTCCAAGAATTATTTTGTCCTTGAAGATCTAATCTTGGTTTTGCATTTGCTTGCAGGATGAACAGAAGTTGAATTGGGTGAAGGAAGCTAATCAACCTGCAAATGGCAAGGTGATGGATGAACATGACGATTTCTTGCACCAAATTAGATCGAAGGTGAGCTTTCTTTGTTTTACTACTATATAACATAGCCCTCACTTTCCACAAGAGGCAAGGAATCAAAAGCATATTTTTATTGAAATGTTGTGTTGAGTTTGGCTGACATATCTTCCTTTTGGCAAACTGATGCATTACAGTCATTCTCACTGAGACCCACGGCCCCAGCAAAGACGTTGGTGTCCGAAACGACTGCAAACAATAGAGTGACGGAGATCTTGAAGAAGGCCAATGCAATTCGCCAGGTTTTCAATTAATCCCTACCGCTGTTTTTCCCCGTCTTCCTTACGATTGGAGCCTATGAAATATACTGAAGTGAGAAACAAAATGCAAAACTATTCCAGGCAGTTGCAAGTGATGTGGACGATGATGATGCGTGGAGCGACAACCCTTGATCATCGCTTCATTTCCTCGAGAAGTTGGGCGAGAGAGGAGGCGGTAACATGTATGTGAATAATTTGTTTGTTTTACTTTTTTCCTTGATCGGTGTAATTAAGCGAATCGGGTAGCACGGCCTTTAAGTGTTTTGCATTGCTGCCTCCTCTTCTAGACGAAATTTGAGATTAGAGAGAGTAGGAAGAAATTCCAGTCATGTTATTTCCGCCAGTAAGTTGGCTGTTGTTCTGCAAAAGGAGGATGTTTCCCTCACCTCGGTCGCATTGATGCAGGAGCTGCTGCAGTGGTTTCCTGGAACTCGAAATAAGGAAAGGGTGAATGTAAAGAGGGAATTGTGGGTTCCTTTGGATGGTGAAATGGAGTTGCAGCAGTTGATAGATGATGAAGCTTTGGCTTGGCTTAGGAGCTGCTCGACATCCTCGCCTCTTCAATCCGTTATTTCAGTTTCTTTTCCTGTTCACCATAGTGCTCTTGTTTCCTACCTCTTCTCTTGTTATAGATGAACGTTTGTGTTCTTTTGGGTTCTCTCGGAACCTTTTTTTTGAGTATTTTGTATGTATTCCTTTGATGGTCCAGGAAATAATAATACGGTATCATCCTTATATATAAGAAAAAGGTTGGCTGTATGTATTCTGTTTAGTGACTCCTTTTTACTAAATATATAATTAAATGTATTATAAATTGACTCAAATTATATTCGTTCTGATTCGATCTACGTATAAAACACTAAATAATAGTCACCGATGGTGGTACTCATAAAACCAGAATAATGGAAAGGGCAGTTTCTTACGGAGAATCTTTAAACAAAACCAGAACATTGTTAAAAAAAAAAAAAAAAGAGCAATGGTCCTTTTTTTTAAAATATCAGCAGAACCATTCTTTTCAGTTTCGAAGAAAACACAAATTAGTTTACATTAAGAACACCAAATCTCATAATACTTTAATGATCATTTGGAATAGTCTAACCTTATTAGCTTGTTAATTAAAAAGTTCAATTTTCTTTCTTCGCCCAAGAATCTCGGGGAAGAAACTTTATTCCCGGCTTAAAAAACGCGACATGAGTTGACAAAAATGAGTACTATAACTAGGCTCAAGATAGGGTGCATAACCCATGGTTATGCACCCATCAATAACCAAATCTGGACCCTTCATTTAGAAAATTCAGATCTAAGGATGGAAAATTAAAAGCTATTTTTATTTTCACTAGCTTTCTTAATTGACTCATATCTTTTTCGTTTTAATTCGGATTTTAATTTTTTTTGCACAGATGGAACGAGTTCACCGTGCTCTACAAAATGAGATCAATTTTCAATATTTTTTTAGGAAAAAAAAATTCTGGCCTCTCGGTACCAACTGCATACCATATGGTATCTTCTTCGTTTTTAATTCGTTTTTGAAAACGTTTGCACAGCAGGGATGAGTTCATCATGATCTACTGGATCTACAAATTTCTGGGTGAACAAATTACAGGACAAAAAAATACCACACAATACCATATAATACCACCCTGGTACGGGGTGGTATTGTATGGTATCTTCTTCGTTTTTAATTCGTTTTTGAAAACGTTTGCACAGAATGGACGAGTTCATCATGATCTATTGGATCTACAAATTTCTGGGTGAACAAATTAAAGGACCAAAAAATACCACACAATACCATACAATACCACCCTGGTACGAGGTGGTATTGTGTGGTATACAATGTTAAAAGTCGTAAATTACAATTAATATACTTCTACTATCATGTATTCAACAATCCTACAGTATTGGTTTGTTCATACCACCCTGGTACGTTTTTCAAAACATAGGTATGCTTTTATTTCAATACCAGTCAATACCATATGGTATAGGCTGGTAAAAAATGGCTCAATTTCGTTTTGATCGAAAAATATATTAAAGTGGATGTCATTTTGAAGAGCACAATTAATCTGATCTAACTGTGCAAAAAAAATTAAATTTCGACTTAAAATGAGTGAGAAATCGTTCGTCAAAGATTAAAGAGGGAAAAATTAAAGGCTTTCCATGAGAGAGAGGATGCTGATGTCATGCTGATGTGGACGGGTTACTCATGGTTACTCACCATAAGGTTACTGACCTGATCCATTCCCCTATAACTAACTACCATCCCTTTGCTTAATTACTATTTTATTTATCGTAATTATACCACAACACAAACAGATCGGTCAGATTGATTAAAAAAAACTTGTTTTTGTTAAGCAATTATTTTTCTTTTTTTAGTTCTTGCAATTTGGAAACAACTGACTGAAATTCAGATTTTTTTTATACGAAGAACCTCTTTGACGAGCAGCAGATTCAGGGATGTTGCAATCAGGTATAATCCGAGATTGCTGTCCTTCAGCTCAGATGAGACTGAGGGTGCAACTCAAGAGTTTATGCACCAAATGGTTGATGGCAGGAAACACCCGACCTTGCGTGTGCCGAACCATCTGCCCTACGAGCTGGAGTGCTGGACTACCCCTCTTTTGCTTGTGTATAGTAAAATTTGGCTCCTTAATTTTGAGTAGAATCATATCTAAGTACGAGATTAATATTGTTTTCAATTTTTCTAATCAACTTAATATTTGTTAAACTCAAATTTTGTTTATTTTACAGAAAGCGAGTTCATTGTGTACAAAAATAAATGTCTTCAAAAAGCGATGGAATTTTCACTCCCTGTCAGTCATGCAACTAAGTCCCGACATCTTTATCTTTAATTTTGAAAAGTGTTTGTGACTAATCAATCAGAAAGAGACCTTTGATTATTATACTGGAAGAGGACTTCCAAAGCATCGAGAAAGAAAAGTGCATCCCTCCTTTTCAAGCAAAAGGAAGAAGAAGAAGAAGAAGAAAAAGCAGAATTCATAAGAGAATTGAAAACCTTGTTCTTTAAAAAGTGAGAGTTGGAAATGGAGCAACTTCTACTTTTATATATTTTAATTTAATTCATGATTGTCTCCTGTTCAATAGCTAAAGGATTTGATTAAAAAATTAAGTATTGAAATACCGTACCGGAGGTTGTAACGAAAAAGTCAGTAGTAGGATGGATGTTTTATGCTAAAATCGTGGTTTAATCATGATTCAACTGCTTAATACCACTAAATACCGCTGGTACGGTATAGTATTTTTTGATCGAACTGCCGATATGGTACGGTATTTCAATCCTTGTAAAAAACACACGCGCAAATGGCTAAAACAATTAGCTTATAGACAAAAAAACAATTAGCTAGTAGAATTTAATGGTTACCCCCGAAACAAGGCAACATGGTAAGTATACTTATAGCCATAAGCATGAAGTTGTATAGGGATAGCAACATGTCACCCGATAGTGCACATATTTTATCTATCCTAAATTGTTCGGATTTTACTCATACCGATACAAGAATTGGTTAGAATATCCATAGTCAAAACCATACCTATACCCAATCGAATTTCGGATATCCAGCCATCAACCGCAATATTCAGATTCGGGTTTTACCAATGTCCATTGTCATAAATTCGAGTTTCGGTTTTACCCTACCGGATTAGGTCGGATTCAGACTAATATCCACGAATACGATTATTTTCACTATCTCTAAAGTTGTCTTTGCGCATTTAGATTACAAAATAGATGCACAATTCGTAGTTATTGAATGAATACCATGACAAGTATTTACAATTTTAGGAGCTAAAGTATGAAAACCTAGAATAGTTATTCAGCTATATGTATTAATACCTCATCCGATTTGAATACAATGATTAGGATCATATTTACTATTTTGATGACTAATAATTCCAATTAAAATATAAATCTGTCATGAACTATATGTACATGCATTTGGGAAAAGGCAACTAAAAGCCAGTCAAGAACAAGGAAGGAAAAGGGTGTCAAAAAGGAAATGAAAAAAAAATTAACCAATAAAGTAGCCATTCAGGCTTAAGCAACAAAAGTTCATCATCAGAAAATCCACTTGAATGCTACCCCAAACCCTTGTAAGTAAAGCATCCCAATCCCAACTTTTTTTTTTTTTGTAAAAGATGAAGAGTAAGAGTTCGACCCACAAAACCAACTATTTTAATGTTGACCAATGATCCTCATATAGGCTTTCTTTCTTTTGCATTTTCGTTCCCTTTTTCTGGCCTCAAGCTTGGGGATGTTAATTGCAATTCTCGATGCTCGCGGTGTGTTGGGTTGAGTCGTAGATATTGGAGTATTTTCTTTTGGATGTACAATGACAACTATTTTTGCGGGTGTCGTTGGACTTTTGGATGGCTCGGGTTGAGGTAGAGCTAATCTTCAATGAAATAGGACAACTACACACTAAATATCCTGGAGTTCTGCTAGTTTGATATGATTTGCTTTTCGTAGTTGGCTTTTGACCCGAACACCGTTATCTGTATGGTATAGCTAATTCAAATGATCTTTTTGATTAAAAATAAAATTATAATTATTTATTTATTTGGCATAAAAACCGATGCAAAGCTAGGTATATAATATTGCATCTCCAGCTGGAGGGAACAATTTATTAGCTCAGTTATCCAATCTATAGTTGGGCAGAATGAAACCATAGCATGTGACAGCTTCTCTTCATGTTATGTTGCTTCTCTTCTCTTCTCTTTCTCCCCATTAATCTATCAGTAGAGTAAAGACTATTAGATTCCAATTCTCCCCATTAAGTCACCATTGTTATGTTATGCAGCTAAAAAAGATGAATTGCCAGAAGAAGGCATAATATACTCATGAAAAGATTGGGGAGGAAAAAGAAGGAAAAGCAGAAAGTAAGTGAAAATTAAAGCAAAATATCCAACTTTAAAAGGTATATAAGAAATAAGGAAAGTGGGAAGGTGTTCATTTTTCTCCCCCCAGAAAGGCACATATCATGGCTTTTGTTAATCAACTTTCTTCATCACTAAAAGAAAACCTAGCTTTCCTTTATCTCTTTAGTGGCTTTGATCGAGTGTGTTTGTTTCATAAACTTCTCAAAATTTAAATTTTAGTCAAAAACAATGAATTGGTTGGATGATAAATCTGCATTCTTAAATGGTTTTTAATATATTATGGTTATATGGTATTAATTTAAAAAAGAAAATTAGAGATTACAAGAACTAAACATCTACAATAAAAGTACATCGGAAAACGACAAACTACAGTGACAAATAAATTATCAGTTATAAAGATACAAATTGTAAAAAAAAAAAACCCGATCAAAGTCTTGGTTTCATGGTTGAAACTCGGCTACTTCCTTGGGCTCAATCTTACACTCGAGGAAGGAAATCTACATTAAACAACCTGAGGATTTTGAAGGTTCGAGAGAAAAACACTCGATTTGTGTCCTAATTAAAACGATTATTTATTGTCCGAAGCAGATTCGGAGACCTGGGAATAAGGGTTATTACTTATTAGGAAAGTTGTATTTAGTAGTAAGAGGAGTAGTAGTAGTAGAACTCTAAACCTAGAGGATCCTTAGTTGAGTGCAACATTTCCAAAAAGGAAAAAAGTGTGAGCACAAGGTTCTACTTTGATTCTAACCCAAAACAACAAGGGTATAATATTAAACCAGCTAGCTAAGGAATTGTACATGTTCTCTTCCTTCATTTCCTATAACCTTTTCCTATACTCCAAGTGCCCTTTGACACTTTGTAACGCACAGATTAGGCTTTTTCCCCCACAGATTAGAGTTAGACTTTTTCCCTTACTAGCTAGTAAAGCAAAACAACAAAGCGAAAACCAGAGGAAGAGGAGGGGAGAGAATGGCTATTGCTAGTAGGAAAAAAGTATAAAATAATAGTTTTGAAGATGATGATGATGTGGACAAAAAAAAAGCTCACTCATCATATTTTCCACGCCACCTACTCCTTTTTGGTTTTCCCTCAACATTTCCTAAGCCATCAAAACCCTATCAATTAATCATAACAATTCATCATACTACCTTGAACATCAAATGTTAAGTTGTTTGATCAAGAGGTGATTCAAAAGGGCAAGATATATAATTTGGTACAATTGGCTCTACTGTTCAATTGTCAGAACGTATTTGACCAGACGAAATTTAGTTATCACACACTAGCATGATAATAAATATTAATAGTCAGCTTTCATAAACTTTGCAAATGTTCACGATACAAAGGAAGGATAAACTCACATATATCGATCAACTCTTCATCGTAAAAATTAGTTAAAAAATGAGACGCCTCATCGATTCGACATGTAATACTATTTTACGAATGCCAGCGTTCAAACTACGAAACTAATAAGAAAGTCGTATAAGGTTTAATGTTAGAATCCTTACAATAAATTGAATTATTTTTATTATAAAATTATATGCAAAAAAAAACCTTATAATATTATCATAAATATGTTTGTTTCTTTTCTCCACACAACCTTTTCCCCTCTCACTAATCACTATATATACACACACCTCACTCTTCCCTTCCATTTCCTCCTCCATGTACAAAACCGTAACCAAACACAATCCCAAAAAGAAACAAAAAAAAAAACGAAGAAAGAAAAACATGGCAACCCAAGAAGAGGGGATCAAACTCTTCGGAAAGACAATCACCGTGACGGCGGCGGCGGCAAAAGCAACCATGAAGGAAGAGAATAATCCTCACGCCGACGACACGCCGAGCAAGCCGGAGAAGATAATCCCGTGCCCGAGATGCAAGAGCATGGAGACCAAATTCTGCTACTTCAACAACTACAACGTCAACCAGCCCCGCCACTTCTGCAGAGCCTGCCACCGCTACTGGACCGCCGGCGGCGCGCTCCGCAACGTCCCCGTCGGCGCCGGCCGCCGGAGAAACAAGCCCCCCGGTGGCGTTCGGATCAGTCCTCCCCCCGTCGGGTTCCCCGATGGTGCGGCGGTGGAGGAGTGGCGGTTGGCTGCGGCGGTGGCGGCAGGTGTTCACGGCGGTGGGTTCCGGGATGTTTTTCCGATCAAGCGGCGGCGGTGCGACGCCGGTGGTCAACCGTGTGTTAATTAGCTAGTTTTTTTTTGTTTAATATCTCATTAATTAATTTAATCCCACTTCTGCCCCTCACTTGGCCTCTTTTGATGTATTATCAGAATGAAATGAATGTAAAAGATATGTACAAATCAGAATTTTTATCATACCAAAAACGTAAAAGAATTTTTAGAGTCGAAGTCGAATTAAATTTGTATTGACTAATTTTCTATCGAGTTGATCAGTGGGTAGTAAAAGATCAGCGAGTTTGAACCTTGGAGGACACGGTATGATGGCGACTTAATCTGTAATTAACAAGATTTGATTAGTAGCTAATTGAAGTAAAAAAATTTAAGCTTTTACGCTACTTTGTTAGATGGGTGTTCTGGTTAAAAAAATATTTATTGTACAAATTGACATGATAAGTTTAGAATTAATGTACAAGTTTAGTTTGTACCTATAAAAATTCTTTTATAGTACAAAGTGAAGTACAAATCCAGTTTGTAGTTTGTGCCTATTATTTTTATTACAAATTCATTTGACATAGTTAGTAAATACTCCGTTTAATACACGTATATGTACCCGTACGTACTTTATCCGTTTAAAACTTCCGTATCCGTGTTATTGTCAAGCCGTTTCATTTTTCCCCGTTCATTGGATGGCTCCCGCACTAAACACGTATAAAACCCGTATAACACGTTTAATATCCGTATTTAATGAATTAAATTGTGAACTTTACTATTATTTATATATATATATATATATTTTTAAAATAATTACTTTTTATATATTTATTGCTATTAACGTACTATTAAACGTAACTTTAGCTTAGAGCCGACGTAAAATACCCGTACGTAGTTTTTACGTAACTTTCCCGTACCGTATTTTACTAACTATACTTGTACAAACCAAATTTATACCTTCAACGTTATGAGATAAATTCAATTTGTATCTCGAAATACCAGTATTTTAGAGCATACAGATTTGTGTAAAATTCTTGGCAGGCTACTAATCAAGTTTTTGTAGGTACTCGTATGTCTTTAAATATGTGTACATTAGAGAAAGGCCAAGTGATTAGCGATAAAAGTTGGACCGTTTCTCTAATATAATCAAATTGGGTTACTTGTTAGTTACGTATAAATATGAAAAGGAGGCCGGCCTTCCTTTCTTGAGTTTCAACTTTCAACCAAATTTGGCGTTTGTGGGGAAACTGGTTCCAAAAAATAAAAATTAAGACTAGTTGTTTGTTTGTTTGCTTTTCAAAAAGAAAAAGACATTAGCATCATTTTCAGTTTTTACGTGAATTCTATCTCGACTCTCATAAATATTTGAAGATAAATAAATGAAAGCAATTCAAATTTCAAAGTAACATTTTCATATTTCACCGTGCATAAATTCAATTGAATAATATGCATACAATTAATGACGGAGCCACGTTAATGATATGAGAGGCTATATATTTCTCACTCAACTCTCAAAATCATGTAAAATTACATGTAAATTTTTTAAGAAATTCGAAAAATATAGTATTTAAGGCTTTCATTGTCTTCACCAATTCAAATTCTCTAAGTATAGATTTTGTCCCCTCGTCCAGATTTATGACTTCGACAGTGTATGAAGCCAGTATGAGGGAAGATAATTATACCTCTTTTCATCATAAAAAAAAATCTTACATGTTATGATACCGTTTGTTATTATAACAACTACATATGCTAAATATTTTTCCTTTACAGTTGAGAGGGTTGACCTGTTTTCCAGATCACCAACAAGAAATGTGTGTGCAAAGTCTTCAAGGAAGACTTTATTATCATCATATTATAAAGAAAAAAATAATAGGAATTAAATAAAGTTTAAACATTCATCAACTCGAACGTCGAACGTCGAACGATCATCGTCCATCCTATCTATTAGGTTCAATTATGGTTCGGGTTATAGTATTACAGAATTCAAAGGCTACAAATTCTACAAAATTTATGTCTTATGACCCCCAATACGAATCATATCATTCCCTGATATGATCATATAAAAAAAGTATGATTCATATCATGGATGATAAGATGCATGATTTTATGGGTTTTTCATATTTGAATTTTGTACCCTATTACTTTCTCGTTAATTATTAACGGAAACGGACAAATTAACTTTAATTCTCAACCAAACCTCTCTCATTATTATTGTAGGTTGAAAATTTTCTTTCCTATTCTCTTCGTTATTAAATAATTAGATGCAACTACAGAAAGAAGAAGAAGAAAAAAGAAGAACCATATTCCAAGCAGATGCAAACTTTCAATGAATTGGACATAAAACTTACAAGAAAGGCAAAAGATAGAAAAACTCCACAATACAATACAGGCAGAAAAATGAAGAGAAGAAGTATTATTCTCCTAAGATGATAAGCTAGACATCACATTCCAATCTCAACTACCTAAAAGAATAAGGCACGAACATATTTATATTGAATAAAAACAGATCCTGAAAAAAAGTGTAGAATTGGAATTATATGCACCTACATGTCATGAACCAGTTGCTCCCAATAACTCGAGTTGTTGGGAGAAGGTTATGCTGAATCTTATACCACTCTCTAACACGCCCCCTCAAACGAAAGCCAACCCACGGGCTTGAAGTTTGCACAGGCCCACCATACCATGTGCTTGAAAGACAACGGTTAATATTGGGGGTCGTGGAGATTCGAACACATGACCTTTCGGTTCGAGGCTCTGATACCATGTCATGAACCAGTTGCTCCCAATAACTCGAGTTGTTGGGAGAAGGTTATGCTGGATCTTATACCACTCTCTAACACTACACACCTCATCATGTTTACCAAACAAGAGAGTTGGAGCTCATTGTCTCGTATCTTATACCAAATCGATTAATTTCACTAAAACTATTTTCATCCCTTTCTCTCTATTTTCTAATTGGGCTCGAGGGCAACAAAAAAAAAAAAAAAAAAATACACACACACATCTTTTGGCCCTAGATTCAACATCCCTAGGACATAAGGAAGTTCTTATAAATTGTGAATGGGTTTCGAACTAGTCCATCCCTAGTTGATATCATGACGTGTTAATGAGAATGGATTGTACTTTCATAAGTAGTTGTAGGTGCTTTTAATTAAATCTTGCTCGATAACAATTGTATAACAATAAAACCCTCTTTGGCATTACATTGTGATTTCAATTTAAGGATAATTTTTCATGTGATTTTGTTTCAACAATATATCATCACTTTCACCATCACCAAACAAGGATATCCCAACGAATTAACATATACTGAGCATATATCAATTCAGAGGAGTCAACATAGAGTCAACAACGACATTTAACCACCCCGAACCCCCCTCCTTTTACAAACACAAATTTACGACATATATGAAAACATAATTAAACATGAAATCGGAAAAAATGAATAAACATTTTTTTTTGCGACATACGATCTTTTTTATATTTACTTATAAATTATAAACTTATGGGACGAGACCTTGAGGCGTGATACCGAGCTCCCTGAGGACCTCGGGGCACTCAGGCAGAGCCTTGGTTATCAAGAACCCCATGGGGCTGACCCTCCTCACACCGGAGACTATCCCATCGTTCTTTGTGATGCTGACCCTAGCCGAATCCTCCTTGTTTTTCTCCGGCTTGGGGATTTGGTCGCAGCCCGGCCTCGAGGACTTGACTAGGAACACCTCGCAGATCTCGTCCTCGTGGTCGCCCTGCACCGGTATGTGGTACACGCCGTGCGGGTCGGTGATGGCGTCCGCACTGAAGGTTATGGACCCTCCCTCACGGTCCTTGCACTCAAGACGCACCACAGCGTCTGCACCATGCGCCAGGAGAGAGAAGAGAAAAAAAAACATGTCATAGGACAAACCAGCTCTGATACCGTGTTTGGTTTGTTTGTTCACGTTATACGTTACCTGGCATGAACACGGTGACCTTGGTGATGAACTGGGTGCGGCAGGTGTCGCAGTAGACCTTGCCTTCGACGGTGAAGGAGTCGGCATTGGCCGTGCCGAGCAGGCCTAGGAAGCAGAGGGCTGATGCTAGGATGAAAACCTTCTCCATTGTTTTGTTATTATGTTTTTTTTAAGGATTGTGTTTCTGTTTGGGATTGGAAGAGGGGGCTCCCGTTTTTATAAGGGCAAGGAAATGTCTTAACAGTGGCTTACAAACGGTTTTTGATATGTGGTTATGAAACATTTTGACCCGCTCTTCTCTCTGTCATGCTGTCTTCCTAATATTATCCATTTTCGTTTCTCTCTATCTCCTCTCAATCTGACAAATTCGATCCATTCACCAAAAAGGAAAAAAACTATTAAGAGACCAATTAGTTTCTTCGCAAGATCTTACCACAAAATTTGAGATGACAATTTTGACTTAACTCTTCTTGCTCGATTTATTTCGAATGGATAATACTCATGTCAGAAGCACGCATGACATATATGGGTACTCCCCACAATGTTCTTCCTTAACATGCCTCATTCTCAATCCATTTTGTCTAAATAATATGCAACTTTTACTCAAATTACTTGAAAATGTACTTCTACTATATTATATTTTTTATATAAATATAATTATAAACAAGTGAGAACTATGACGACCCAAGCTCGAAGATAAACAACCCGGCGTATACCCGACCTACACCAAGACAAGTATGGGTATTGAAATACCTGTTATGAACAGAACTAGTACTGTACTACCAACAAATCAAGCATTAGGCCTCGCTCGATAAGGGCAAGAAATCTAGTTTTGGAAACTGGACACAAATCTTTCAGTTGGTTAATCGCATTTAACAAGAAGCAATTGCTGCTGCTGCTGCTTAAAATCCTATGAGAATGACGCATACACGCCCTTCTCTACAGAGTAGTAGTCGCCACACATCAAACCAAAAGCATTAAGAAGAAAACACAGAGAAAATGGCAAATTTTTGAACAATGTCTCCAGAAACAAAGAATAACGGAGAGCAACGGACTACTAACAACACGTCACAAGAGCCACAAACATTCTCCCCAGTCATCTGATGGTAAAACAACGCACTACCCGAGCTCAACTCCTCCGTTTGCTTGCGTCTCACTGCAAGAGAAGGGGTAACATGATTGCAGTAAGAATGAGATGTCTGGCCATGGAAACAGAAAGAGAAAGAAGATGATTATCAGGAGCTGAATAGATAACTTACCTCAGCATCTTCAGCTCCACCGGACTTCTCGAGCTTACTTTCCTCTGCCATCAGCAAAACCAACATTAGTAAACAAATCAAGCACACAAGGTTTACAATGAAGAACAACGCAGCCAGGTACTTAGCAAGGAATTCAAGAGCAACGCGATAATGATTCCATATTGCTTATGAGACAAAAATTTAATAGCAGAAAGAAGAGAGCATTAGCACCATCTTCTGGCATGTCAGAAGTCCACAAAGTCAGGTTATCCCTTAAGAGCTGCATGATCAATGTGCTATCCTTGTAAGACTCCTCGCTGAGAGAATCCAGTTCATGGATTGCTTCATCAAAAGCTTGCTTTGCAAGGTGGCAAGCCCTGGAAAGAAGAGTAGTAAGATCTTCATGAGAAAGGTACGACTTTTTGCTACCAAAAGAATGAAAACACAAAGCACAATCAAGACATGTTTATACTAAAAGCTCGGTAGTTCAAGGCATACCTTTCAGGAGAGTTGAGAATTTCATAGTAAAAGACTGAGTAGTTCAAGGCCAAACCCAGCCTGATGGGGTGTGTAGGAGGTAGATCAGCCTCTGCAGCAGTAGAAGCTGCCTGCAACAGGGAAGAAAAAAGGAAAGAAAATTTTAGAATGCTTCTAAGCAAACAAGTGTATGACTATAGTTGAGATCCATCAGTAAGAGGTCAAACCTGATATGCCTTCATGGACTGATCAGCAACCTCTTTCCTCTCATCACTGGACTTAAATTCTGCTAGGTACCGATAGTAATCTCCTTTCCTGCAGCAAGCAAAATAAATAAAGAACATGGTTGAGACTCAGGCAGGCGTCTTTCCAGCTTATTATGTGAAAGAACGACCTCAGCTTCAGTGTCAAATTTTAGAAATGGGGAGGAAACAATGTCTATGCACACCATGTTGCCACAAAACCTCTTGAACACTAACCAAAACCACATCAAAGTATGAAACTATAAACAAAAAACGCTGCATCACAACAGCCATTGAGCAAATAAGAGGAGGAAAAAAAGACCATGGATGAGACTCAGAAAGGGGTCTTTCTAGCATATTAAGTGAATGAACAAACTCAGCTTCAGTGTCTAATTTTAGAAGATAAGGTACAAAATGGGAAGGAAACAATGTCCAAGCATACCATGTTGCCACAAAACTCTTCAACACTAAAATCACATCATAGTATGAAACTATAAACAAAAAATGCTACATCACGACAGCCATTGAGAAAATAAGATAAAAAAAAATGTAAACATGGATGAGAGACTCAGGCAGGCGTCTTTCCAGCGTATTAAGTGAAAGAAAGGCCTCAGCTTTAGTGTCTAATTTTAGAAGATAAGGTAGCAAAACGGGAAGGAAACAATGTCTAAGCATACAATGTTGCCACAAGACCTCTTTAACACTAAAACCCCATCAAAGTATGAAACGATAAACAACAAGGCTGCATTATAGCAACCATTGAGCAAATAAGGGGAACAAGTGAACATTATATTCAACCACGCAAAGAAGTAACACTTGATTTTCAGACAAGAGAAAGGAGCCTTTGATGATCAACGAATGGAAAAACATCCCGGTCGGATTTAAAAAGAAACTCACATCTTGTAGAAAAAGACAGTTGATTCTGCACCAGAGCAAGAAGGAATCAGATGTTCATCAATCACAGTCATCACATCGGTACAAATGTCAGACAGCTCAGACTCCACCTTCTGCCTGTACCCTTTGATCCGCTTCACATTCTGCTCATTCCCTTTCCCTTCCTCCTTTTGTTCAATGGACGACAGTATCCTCCACGATGCTCTCCTAGCACCAATCACATTCTTGTATCCAACGGAGAGTAGGTTCCTCTCCTCAACAGTCAGCTCTACGTTCAGAGAGGCCAATTTCTTCATTGCGTCCACCATTTCTACAGAGATCGAGAGCAGACACAAAAACAGTACTCGTTAGAAAGTCAAAACCCTAGGTTCAATGCCTAAATTCGATTGCCCAAACTTTTAACAACGAATCAGGACAATAAAATCGAACGGAGTCACACTTCTTGTCGAACGCCTTATTAGTTCACCCGATTCCTCCATAGGCACTCATACATAAGTGAATAATCGCCGCTCATTCACGATAACTACCATATCTAAAGAGCTATACGCTCAGAAAGAGAAGCGATCCAGCATTATTCAGACTGTACGAACGAAAGGTAACAAAGTGGTCAAGAATCTCGAGGAAGAACTCAAGAATCATACTGCTACTTCATTTCCTCTAAATCTCGGTCCTACAAGAACGGGAGTACAGAACACCGAAACGATCCCTACGCGGAATCAAAATATCCAGTACTATCCAGTCGTCATAGTTCCGCTTCCTCGAATTTTTATCAGCAACCAAAACAGGAATACGGACGAGTTGAGAGAGAGAAAAAGATGGAACGAGAAGGGAGAAGAATCAATCAGCGTACCTTCGTAGCGCTCAGCTTGCTCAGCGAGCTTCGCTGTGTAGACGCAGCTGTCTCGTTCACTTGTGGCCGCCATGATCGATCTGTGGTTTGGGGAAAGGATCAGCTTAGTGCCTGCTGAGACTTCACTCTCGTTTTCTCGCTCTAGATTCTCGCCCGCTCGCTCTCTTTTGCTGCTTTGTTGTCTCTCTCTCTAAAAAGAAGGGCTGATTGTAAGAAGAAATAGGACGGAGGGTGAGACACACGGAGTCGCGACCCGAGAATGACCCGGGTCCGCGGGAGACGCCGGCCCAGTGGCAGTAGGCGCTACTCCACTCGCGATCCGAACCGTGAGAGACACGCGCTGTGGGAAACGGCGTCGCTGTCGCCCTCCTACTCCCGTCGTGGAAAAAATACAGGTACGGAAAAGAGGTGGACGTTGGTGATTGGCTGGTTGGTGATTTGGCGTGTAATCATAATTAAGAGCAAAAAAATTGGAACTAATTGCCGCGACTTTCCTTTAGTGATTTATTATTACAAGTTTACAACATTATGTATATTATCAATTTATATCATACATTAAGACCCAAAAAAAATTATATCATACAAATTAGGCATTCCACTAATTAAAGACTAAAGAGAGACTTTCCATTTTGGGTTGTTGACCTTAATCAATTAGCCGGTTAACGGGCTGAACATCGGTTACTAACCGGCTAACATTAGTTAAACCCGATAGCCGATAAGTAATTATCCATCAAGAACTTCTCATACATAGGAGACAAGACACAAAAGTCAGGCGCACTCTTATAACAATAATAACAATATAAACTTATAAGTAGAACTTGTGACAGGTTGGGTGCGAATCAGATAATTTATCACGGGATGCAAGTTGAGGTAGGTTGATTCATATGAGTATGTAATTTAAAAAAAAATAGAAATATTCATTTTTTATTAAAAATTCAAGAATCAAACTATGATATGATAAGTGCTGGGTAAATGACACATTTGGTCACTGAGATTATTAAATTGTGTCATGTTTAGTCACTAAAAAAAAGTAATATCAATTTTGGTCACTCGAATTACCGAAACTGGTCAAATTTAGTCACTCTCCCGTCAGTTTCCGTCCAACTCCATTAATGTAGTTGGATGGAAACTTTTGGGAGAGTGACTAAATGTGACATGTTTCAGTAATCTGAGTGACTAAATGTGAGATTTTTCAATAATTCGAGTGACCGGAGTTGGACAGAGGCTACAGAAGAGTGACCAAATGTGACCTGTTTCAGTAATTCGAGTGACCAAAATTGATATTAAATTTTTCTAGTGACTAAGTATGACACGATTTAGTAATCTCAGTGACCAAATGTGTCATTTACCCGATAAGTGCTTGTAGCTAAATTATTCGAGAAACTAAGGTTCTCACTTATTTACAACTTCATTGTAGTTAAAATATGAGATAATGTCCTAAATAATTAGAATAAAATTATATGTAATTTAGACACTAAGGCTCAGAACATATCAGAAAACAAGAAAAGTACTAAGACCATGTCTTGCAATCATATCGCCTTATTGTGGTCGCTTTCGATGTGTACAATTTTCTCTATTGTGAAGGAAAAATTTACAAGAAAGAATTATCTTCTCATGTGTCCTTTTCTAATTATCATAGAAGAAAGGAAGGAAGACTTTGTTAACATCAAAGTGGCCTTTAGTTCCCTAATCGAGCCACTATTTGCAGAGAGGACAGGGAAAACGAAAACACCAAGAGGACAAGAGCAAGTTGCAGATTCATATACACCAAAAATACGTGTATAAAAATAATTATTATACTAAAAATTATACATGTTCCATTGGATTCCTTATGCCAAACAATACAATGAACTTCTCACTTCCCAATTGCAGCAATAAGTTGCAGATTCATTATTCAAAAATCAAGTTGACAAGAAAAAGTATTTCAGTAGAAAAAAAATGGGAGAAATATGCAAAGTAATTAGTGTGGCTACTGGCTGGAGAATGTGATGTGAGTCCCCCCATTTGGTGATTAAGGACTTGTGCTCAGTTAAATTGTATCGCTCCATTATATTCTCTTTTTTTTTTAATGACAATAAGTACATTTTGTTAATGACATCTTGTCTTCATCTCTCTTCGATGGTCCATCACTCTCGTCTCGGTCCTCCCTCTTCCTCAGTCTTATTTCTCTATGCGTTGGCTAAAATATCGGTCAAATAATTAAGAGTTACGCTTTAGTTACGAGATCTTATCAAGTAGCGACCATGACCATAGTAGATCGGATCGGATCAAACTAAATTATAATGTAGGTACACCATACAAAAGTCAAACATAAATAAGCAAACAAATAATGAGGTCATGCACAATGCAACTATATGACTCAGGTCTACGATTAAATGCCATCTAATAACTAAATAAGGTTGTGTTTGGTGAGAGCTTTTGCAAGTGGTTCATGATTGACTTCTTCATCTTCACATTTTTCATTTTCTGGAAAAAAAATCTGCGCCTCAACAGTATGGCAACAAGAAAGCGACGCATTTGCTTTCGGTGACAGATGCAGTTGCAACTTGCAAAGCAAGTAGGCTTTTGCTGCAACTACACTGATTTCAGGGAAATCCAAACAATTACATCCATTCCCTTCACTGCTACACTACTACATTCATCCTAAAGCTGTGTAATGGGGGGGATTCTGGTATTCCAATTCCACCTGTGGAAGAAATAGAGAGACTTTGATCTTTTTTACTTCCATTCAGTACTTCAACAAACTACAGGCTGGCAGTTAAGTAGGAAGAAGGTTCTTGCTGCTTCAGGCTTTCTGCAACATGAGCGATAACTCCTGCACCGGCATTATAAGCGGCATTATGGAACCATTTGTTCTTTACCTGACAGAAGGTATAGGTTGAACTGTGATAAACTGGAGGTAAGGGAAAGCAAAATTGAGGATCGAGTTAGAGAGGGAAGGGTACGTGTATGTTGTTGTGGGAAAAAGAATGGCCAGAATGCTGAGTGGAAGCTTACATCCACCTTTCTCTATCCCAACTGCTGCAGACACTGTATCACCTCTGCCAACCAGAGGGTGGGAAAAACATAACAAGTGTAAATGACAAAATGTAATAGAATGTCACCAGACATAAGAGTTTTGTTGAAATCGATGATGAATACCAAAGAGGGAATGGAGCGCTTAGTCGTTTTTTCCTCTTTTACCTTCCATGAGTTCGCGATACTCTGCTGTATTCTTGTTGCTGGGATCATTCTGTGCTGCTGCTTTGGCCTTTGTTGCTTCATGCAGGAAATGGGGGCCGTCGATAGAGACTGGAGGGCAGAACTCGACATCTACAACGTGCTTCTAACTCCAATGATCGTCGAGGGGGGCTGCATAGTGCCAAACATGCATATAGTCAGGCACCACACCAGTCAACAAGTGATGTTTCCTTAAAGCAACAAGCCTCACGTTCATAAGTTCTGTCTCCCTTGTAATGGAGGACGCCGCCTAACCATGTCTTAGTTAATTGTGTAAAGGAAACTGATCCCAAAGCTAAGGAAGAAAGTAAGGATATCTTATAAAATGGTATATGATGCATATTAGGATACGGTCACAAGATACATTTGAATACACTATGCGGCATCAAAATGCCCCAAAAATATGGAAACCAAATAATAGTTACTAACGGTTAAGAACATGCTTTTGTTATACTTACAGAAATTTGCCTTCTTCACAATCTGATGTCATTCTTAGACGAAGAGGCGGTATGTTGGGCTGGCCATCAATAAGAAACAACTCCTTACCAGTTTTGCCCACAAAGATACGGGCGCTTGGAGGAACAAGTTTCTCTAAGAAGGGAACTCCTAGGAGAAGTGGCAGCTGCAGAAAAGCAAATACTACAAACAAAGCAGTACACCACACATAAGCTAAGATATGTAGCACAGATGCAGGTATAAGAATACCATTTTCAGCAAATATATCAAGTCAAGGAAGTTTGCCAAGTGACTATCAAACAAATCTTTGAACTCTGTTATTTTGATTGTTACTCTACCATACTGGACCAAATAACAGGCACCCATGAAATAAACCTGGTTTCTACTTCTGATTCCAAGATGAGGAGTTGCTAAAGTGATAAAATTGACAGGCTCCAGTCCAGCAATTCTACCACGTCTTGAACAGCCTTTCTTTTGAGGGGCCGTTGATTACGCAAAATGAACACTAAAATGGCTACGAAGCAACAGTAAAAGGCATTACAAACAAACCTTTCATCCCGTTCCCTGTCGTTACACAAAGGATCCAGTTCCATGAAGACAGATTTTCACTTCGGGAACTCAGATAATTTCCTTGTCCATCTCAAGTGGCCAAGAACGTGGAACGTCTTCATTGTATTGCACTCCGAGAACCCGCCCAATAACCCAGATTCTTCTATTCTAGACAGCTGCTCTCCCTCTCAATGCCATTAATCTCCAACTTGGAGGTTCAAACAAAGCTAGTTACTTTGGCTTCTCAGTCCAAGTTTTGTCCTAGTGCACAAGACTACTCACTATACATACAGTGGTATACCTGGTAGCAATTCCATCCAAGCTGCTAACCAGTTCAACAGCAACCAGTTCAAGGATCTTAATAGCAACAATGGCCGAGAAGGCAGGAGGAGTTGTGAAGAATGGTCATGGAGAAGGGCTGAAAATGGCGGTGGCTCTCCTTGAAGAGTTCGAACTCCCTCATGGACTGCTTCCGTTGGAAGATGTGATTGAAGTTGGATTCGTCAAGGACACCGGGTACATGTGGATCCTGCAAAAGAAGAAGGTGGAGCATGTGTTCAAGATGATCAGCAAGAGTGTCAGTTATGACAAAGAGATCACTGGGTTTATCAGCAAGAAGAACATCAAGAAGCTCAAGGGCGTCAAGGCGAAAGAACTCATCCTGTGGCCTCCGGTCAGTGAGATTATTGTTGGCGAAGCGGCAACTGGAAAAATTCACTTCAAGAGCCTGGCAGGGATTACCAAGACTTTCCCAGCTGAGGCATTTGCTGCTGGCCAGTAATAACAACATATACCAAGCCCACCTTGAAGCAAAAAATGTTTTCCCCATTCTGCAACATAGCTAATCCATTAGCTGCATTTTGCAATTTATAGTGTTTCTCGTGCATATAGAGTTTTGCCACAACTCTCTAAACAGTTATAAATAAAGTTATCCTTGCACTAATTGGAAGATTTCTCAAGACCAAGCTTGGTATGCATCTTGTACCTGTCGCAAATCGAATATGTTCAACATGGGTAACAGCAGTGAAGCTTTGGTTCCAGGATGAGATAAAAACAACCCAAAAGATGATCCATCTAGCGATCGACAAGACGTAACAAAGGAAACAGGATGGTTCTGAAGATACCAACAAGTAAATCAAGCACTGCGTGCTGACAAATTCACTTCTATATTATAAATAAAGCTCACTAACCGGAAAATAGAGAAAAGAGTCAGTACCTCGGAGAAAGCAGAGGAGAAGTGATGACTAATAGTTTTCAAGAGTAAAAGTGCACACAATAGAAGCAGTCATTCTATGCTAAAGCAGATACGATCACTGTACCTCAGAGCCAACACCAAGTGCATTGATCTGGTTCTAATTTCGATAGCGATGTATATTAAGAATGTGGATTGGAAGCACATAATGTAAAGAGAAAGTTCCTCTATTATATACAAACATAGTCCCGGAGCCATTCAAGTTCAGAAGCATATATGTATATATTTACCAAAAGTACAAGTAGTCAAGCAGAAGATTCTTCAATTAAGGTGGGTCAAGACTCGAGACATTAGATCTATATTTGAGCTTGGTAAGCGTAGCTCCTACATCAGAATCTTTTACATTAATCCCAGAATTGAACACATGCAAACCTAACAAGGCTTTGTAGTACCCCTTCTCAATTTCCTCCTCTTTCACCTGACGAACAAGAAGGGCTTCAATGATAAAATCCTCCCAATCAATAGTTTGCTCCTTCCTTGTTCTTTTTCTTTTCCTTTTCTTGCTGTATGCACAATCCACAAGGTCAGTATTCCTAATATCCGATTTATCAGTTGCCTTAAACGAGCACCCAGCCCTTTTAAGACGCAGCTTTGCAGCTTTTATCTTCGCTCTCCTTTTCTCCGCATCCAGACAACCCTTCACAAAAGACGGAGGCATGGTTTCCAATCCCACATCGTTTTCCAATATCTGCGCAAGCAAAAGCTTCTTGCTCAATTGTGATTTGCCGTTCCACCATTCTGCTGCATAAACCTCAACACCTCTTTGTTCCTGCTGACTAGGAACATCCCCCCTCACCTTAGCAGACCTATCACCGCCACCTTCTTCCAAGAACTTCTCATAGGCCAATGACAAGCACTCGTGTGACAGCTGAAGATTATCCACGTCAGCATGCCCAACTTCAGCAATTGATCTTCTGTCTTCTATCATAGCATTCTGAGAATCATGAGTTACTTCCTGACTATCATCCTCAGCACCATAAGTAATTTCATTTCTCAAGCACTCACTAATCATCTCACCAAGATCAAACACAGCACTCTGAAAATTCTCAATGTCCTTGCCACAGGTATTAGTCGACTTCAACTCCATATACCGAATTACAAGTGGAGCATTCTTTACAACATTCTTCACCGTCACATTCTTCCCCCACGGCAATGCTTGAGCTACCTCCACAAGCGTCTCCAGCAGCTCCTTATACCTCAACCGGGCAGTGACGACAGAAGCATTCACGTCTTTCGCCACATCCTCGAGCTTCACATCCTTAATCCCATTCAACTCAGCTACCAACACAAGCACAGCTGCTACCACAGGCAACGGCCTCCTCCCAGTAGTCAAAAACCACTTAATCGCACACTGTATCAAAAAAACACCTTGCTTTCTGATCCTGCCAACCCTATCACCATCAACCCTCCCCAAACTCGCCAAATTCGTCACAACCCTCTCGAAAGCGTTCACTATATCGAACTCGGGAAGCCTGAGTTCCAAATGCTCAACCACCCGAGCGACCATCCTCCCCAGCTCATAAACATCACACCCAACCGCTTCGCTCACCTCCCCAATCGAAAAGGCCTTGTTCTGAACCCTCATTTCAACATAAGAACAAGCACCAACCAGTACATGGAACCAATCGTCCGAACCATATTCACCTTCCGTAATCTGATCAATCATCGACCTAATTTCATTCACAGCTCTACCACTCAAGTTCAACCTAAGCGTAATTTCGTCGATGATCTTACCGGCCTCGTATACCTTCTTCTCTTTGTACGCCAATGAACCGCCTGTGCCTGAAGTGCCAACGCGGACGAAGGAGCCTTGCTGGCCGCCACCGCTCGGACCGACGGCCCGATCCTCGAAATTGCGGAATTCTTGCACGGTGCCGCATGATTCGCAGACGAGACTCCCGGTGGTGTCGTCGCGGGCTAGGGATCCGTGTCCGCAGCTGAAGCACGGCATTGCAGGATGGTGGAAACTCGTTAAATTGGAAGAGAAAGGATGTCGGGTTCTCAATGCCCGAGCTCGAGTGATTTTGGAGGAAGAGACAGACGCCGGCAACCGGACATGGAAGAATGAAGATGAAGCGGGCCGGGAACTAAAACAGTCGGGGTCAGAGTCTTATGAGCATGGTTGTCACGCCGCCGACGTGATACTGGTTGAACCTGGTTCAACTTGTGCCGGTTATAAAACCGGCATGACACCACCGGTATAACCGGATGACCGGCATGATCGATATACGAATCTCTAAGTAAAATTATCTTATCTTAGTGAATTTAATTGATAAAAAGTAGTTTATTATTTGTTTTATGTGTTAAAAAGTTAAATATTGATGTTATTTGTTGGATTCAAGTACAAATATTTAGATATTTACGTTAAATGTCATGTTTAAATATGAGTATTTGTAAATTATTTGTTATATTAACCGGTATGTACCGGCACAAACCAGTATGTATCACCGATCGAACCATTCCACTTGCTAAACCGGCACACTGGCATAAACCGGTTTGACAACCTTGCTTATGAGCTATGAAGGAAGGCCCGTCGCCAAGCCAAGTCCAAGAAGACTACAATACGTTAAGGGTACCGGTATCGGTGTATTCCCGCCGTTAGATTCGTTGGAGATAGAGAGCAACGAGCCAATGAACAAGGTTATCAACCCGTTTAGTGGGTTAATCCAGTCGAGGAAGTGAATTAAGGGTCAAGCTCCGATCACTTCAGTCCTTTTAGTTCGGATACAGGTGAACTGTTCATACATTTATTCATTACATCAAATATCAGATCATATAAAATAATAGGTTGTATTTGTATCCAACATATAGTGAAAATTCGGACACTTATATAACATAAATATTCCAATGTTCAACTTAGAATTCCAAAAATAGGGTTAAGCGAAGAGGAAAACCGGAAAAGAGGTTCATTTCGCAAACCAAAGGGAAAGACGACATCGTGTGACCTTCAATCCGATAATCTTGCACAGGTCAACCCGCAAGCGTGTGTGGCGCGTTTTTCTCACCGGATCAAAGTCAAAAATGGGTCAGTCCGCGGATTGACAATCTTGACAATGAGTAATCTTAGCATTCCTCATAAGGGGTCGTTTGGATGATGGAATTAGATGAAACAATTTTGCCCAATTGGCTCAAAATACCAAACACAAAACAGGGAAGGAGCAATAGTGTTAATGCAATTTGAATTGCTTCATTTTGCATCAATTTAAATTGACAGCCACAGGTGGAGGAATATGTATATTGAAATGATGCATCAATTGGGCGATGAGGTAATTTCGAAGTGAATTTTCATATTGATAGGACAATACAACGAGTATAGAGTATTATCCGCAAAGAAAGTAGTGGGGATGAGTTCAAACCCCCACCTCATCTCCATTACCATACTTGCGCACAATCAATTTCTCTGTAATCTGTAATTATGTATCATATACACGACTGCATATCATCTTATCTCGCTATCTTCATTTTGATTTCTTGCAAACTGCGTAGGGCTTAGTCACCTTATCTGATTTGATTGAATATTGTGTAAACCCCTTTTAGAAGATCTAAAATGCTGGAGCTGCAGAAGAAGATTTGATTGAATATTGTGTAAACCCCTTTAGAAGATCGTTTGTACAACGTAGGACAATTGGGGAAAAGGAGAAGAGGGTCAAAGAAGTAAATAGCAGCACTGCAATATTCTTTCTCCCCTCTATCTTCTGCTGTTCTGCACTTTCTTTCCTAGATTAGCTCTTTCTTTCACTATATATATTGCTGCGGGTAATGGAAGGTAAACAAAAAACCAGAAATGGAGAAGTAAGAAAGAAAGGGGCATCTCTCCAGTCAATGTTGTGCTTCATTTGGCAACATCTGTGGATTCCTCTTAAATACATGCTTTCTGCACCGTTCAAAAATGCTGTCGTACATCAAATCGAATTCGACTCCTGCTCTCTCTCTGTTTATTATGAACAATATGTGATCCCCCTCCACAACCTTGTAGTACCTGCATCAACAATCTTTGTTATTCAACCTAGCTTTACAGATCAATGCCATAAGCTCAAGTTTAGAGCATAAGTAACCGGATATGGAAAACTACTAACCAGATTCCCGGTTGTAAGGACTGACACTGGGAATCATCTTGAATGAAATGGCTAGGATGCTCGACTGGGAATCGAGGGTGTGTCATGGATATGGTGTTGATGGCGCCATCGTTGTCCTGCCAGTCCTCGTCTCTGCACAATGAATGATGAATCCCTAGTTAGGAATGGTTCCAAGTACAATTGTTTTAAAGGCTACTGAAGAGTTTCTATGCTGCATACTATGAGCTTCATGATGCTGTTAATAGTGACACTTTCTCAAACATTATACAAGAGATTGATTCTTCATCAACAATTTGAATGCCATATGATAAGTGTATATGAAACTGACCTATATCCTTTAAAAGGAGGAGCAACATCCGAAGGATGGCGCCACTGGCTCATCTGAAGAACTCTGATGAGAAGCAGGGGATGGACACCAAGGATGCTGGAAGGTACTGTCACACCCATGATTTTCCTTGTACGCTTGGTTGCATAGCTGAAATAGTACGTGTTGGGGAATGTATGTAAATGGGAGTTGAGTTCGACAGACCCTTGGATAGTGAGATCGGGGAGTATCCAATCGCCTGAAGCAAATGGACCAACATTCCCTAACAGGCAGTCTACCAAACCGGAAATTCCTTTTTTCTTCCATGACATGTTGAAGTGATCAAACCCAAAGTTGTAATATTCCTTCAGCCAAGCTAGGTCAAGCCAGTCATAGACAATGACACCAAGGCGACAGATTTGAAGCAGAGATATTGGTTTCAAGCTCTTCCAATCTTCAGGACTGGACATTGTGATAAAGCATAGCCAATAAAACATTCAGGATACAGATGCTTAAAACTTAATTACTTCCATGGATTTATTTAACAATATAAAAAACAGAAGTTCAAGAAGAAAGAAAGCATCAAACGGGCTAAAGCAAAGAATGTCAAAATGGACACGATGACCAGTGACGCCCAAGTTTAGAAAAATCTACTCACTGCATGCCATCCAAGTAAGTTCTCGTAGTTCCATTAAATGCACCTGATAAGGATGTAATGCTCAACACCCAATTCTCAGAAGTATTCTCATAACCCTTGAAAGCCTGCAATAGAAAGGTCGGAAAATTAGCCAAGGGACACAAAATGAAGAGTGGATGATGATTGTAAATTGAGGATGAAACTGACCTTGTCAGCAAGCATTTGTTGAAGAACTCGAACAACCTGAGCTCCAGCAGAATGACCAACAAAATGAATCGGGTGATCTTCATCCCATTCAGGGTAGTTCCCTGCAATAACAAGAACCCAATACATGAAACCAAGCCCTCCTCCGACAAAAATACTACATAATTGACCAGATTTTTTTTAATAATGGAGATGTTATATTATTAGCTTAACAAAAGATTCAACACAAAGAAACAACTGAGTGTCTGCATTTTCAAACAGTGGCAGACAGAAATGATAATCAAACAAAGGAGATTCCAATCTACACACTGCTGAAACAAAGCTGTATTCTATCTACAGTCCTGCCATACACTCCTGGGTCAATGCAACCATTTCAACTTTAGTACTCTCTCTTGTCCATCCTAACTTCAATTCAAAGAGATTACTCAATCCATATCAGGTTCTACAAGACTACATATACTGATACACATCTCAAGACATGAAGCATGAAATCATATCTTCCTCCACAGATGTAAGAAACATATCCTGCTGTGCATCTTACCCAGCAACAGCTCGCTGTTCTGCTATCTAGGTATGGCTAGTAATCCTCAGATTTGGGGGGAAAATCCAACTCACTTGACAGGCACAACAAAACAAAAAGGGAGGTGTGTTGTAACCTTGTTCATATGTCCTCCCGAATTGGGAATGCCCACAAGCTTTGCTGTGTTCTTCACCATAATCAACTTGCCCTCCTTTCAAATAATAGAACAGTTCCCTTGCCCTGCATAATTGGAGATGAAACCCCTCATTAGGTTGAGAAATCGAACCTTAACAAATGCAGGGAAAAAAAAGGAAAGCAACGAGCAACATGGAAAATCAAGAGACAAACCTATCATATATGCTGGTTAGAGAGCCCAAATCAGGGACAAGAACCCTCTCATATTTATTCTCTGCCCCTGCAAAATACGATAAACCTCCCAATCTCTGCAGACGAAAAACCCCACCCAAGCAAAGGAAAAACAAACATGGAATGAGAACAATTAACTCAAAGCAACCCATCTCAGAAAATCCACCATTTGAAAAAGGGAAAACCGCAGAACAAAGACAAAAAATTTTCACATACCCCTTTGCCAAATCCGAAAATCCCATGAACCAACACAATCGGAGGGAGGTCTTCGACGCTAGTGCGACTGGCAGAACACGCTGTCTGTTCTCTCTTCACGGCGAAGTCCGCGTTCGGCTTGAAAAACCAATCACTCAAACCCTGAGAGAGATCGCCGGCCACCGCGGAGCTGAATATGTAGAACCCATAAAGCATATGGACCAAGGAGCTCACGAACAGCTCCGTCAATTGAAGCGCCGCCGTCCAACACCTCAGCATTCTTCCTCTCCCGTAACAAGCTCTTCAAGCAAACACGAAAAAAACCGTGTGAGGAAGAAGAAGAAGAGGAGGAAGACCCGAGGCCTCGTTTGAATTGAATTGACTCCCTCTTCAACTAAGCTGAATCTCCAGAAGACGGCGATTGACTGGTTGTTAAAAGGGGCAGCTGCATTGGAAATAAAAGGGCCCAACTGCAACTGCCAGCGAGCCAAGGGAGAAGGCCAGAAGGAAAACTTTGAATTGTTAATCTGTGACTGTGTGTGGTGATCAATTTGTCTGGAGCAAAAGAGAGAGTCTCTGGCTTTGGGGAAAAGGAAAGTGATTGGAGAGAGATGGCAACCACAGAGAAAAATATATAAACTGAAGAGGGGAAAAGAAAAGGATGGAAAACCAAAATTGGTTGCCAAATTGCTGACTCCATGGCCATACCCCCAACTCGCAAGACAACTGTGGGTGTGCGTAGGTGGGTCATTGGTGGGTTCCGGGTAGGGAATTTAATTTTAAGAGATAAAACATTGTAATTTAATGTTTGTTGATAAAATGGAGCAAAAAATAATGAAGAAAAAGGTTTTACGGTTTCACTGGATATATCCAGATTTAATCAACTAAAAAATAAAATGGAGGAGGAGAAAATTCGTGGCAGCGCGGCGGGCAGGGTTTGGGGGAAGATTCCAGAAAGAGAGAGAGAGAGAGAGAGAGTTTATTAGACTTCTGAATTCCAGGTCATACTTTTCTTTTGTTTTTTTGTGATTGAATTGATGGAACCACTCACCAATCACCATACCACACGTTACTCTAACCCTACTACAAACCCAATCTCTCTTCCAAGAACAAAGTTTTTTTTTCTTCTTATTACTTTAGTTTTTATCCTTTTTAAGGAAGAACGGTTGGTTTCACTCAAGGTTGTCAACCCGTGGGTTGACCCGGACCCGGTCGAGCTAGTGGGTCAAGGGTTAATGGGTCACCCGGTTTAGCCCGTTTTAGCCCGGAAATATGAAAAGAGTCATTATATTGTACTTTACTTGATAAATTATATCAAATGTCATCTAACATATGAGTAATAACATATAAAATTACACCAAAGCAACATGTCATACTTAGATCCAACATATAGTGAAAATTCACACACGCTTATATAACATCAATATTCAAATGTTCAACTAAGGATTCCAAACATTGAGTTAGGCGAAAAGAAAAATCGGAAAATAGGCGCATTTCGCAAACTAAAGAAAAAATGTATATAATTTGACCTCCAACTCGATATCTTATAGCGATCGACCCGGCGGGTGCGTACGACCCGTTTTTCTCATCGGGTCTGGGTCAAAGTGGGTCAAACCGTGGGTTGACCCGCGGGTTGACAACCTTGGTTTCACTCGATCAATGCTAAACGTCGTTCTAAATTTTATACATGCATTGCACATTTGTCTGTTTAAAATTGGCCACGCAATAATGGAATGAAAGATTTTTTTTTTTTTTTTTACCATGATCGGGCCAAAATCTTGTATTGGGAATGACCATGACATAACCGAAGTAAGGATTTTGATCAAATTAAGGCAAAACAGAAACCGCCTGACTTTTGTGTTCTCGTTGTCAAACCGAATACCGATTTTGGTTCAACCATAATCAAACCTAAAATTTCTGTTGAATTCGTCGTCGTGTTGTCGGTTTTAAACAACACGAGACTTGGTTTGGAAGGAGTGGCTTAAATTGAAAAGGAGTTGGAGGTGGTAACTTAGAGAGAGATAGTACCGAAGATTTGAACCGGAGACATTGCAATTGCATGAGCTACACTAACACACAAGCCACAATGGCCAACGGAAGCTTGGTGTTGGAGTCAAATTGGGGGGGAGGAAAGTTAAAAGTGCAAGAGGATAAATTTAACAATCTTCCAAAAGATAAAAAATAATAATTTTAAAGACGACATTTAGCAAGCAGATATGGAACTACGTACCTAATGCACACTTATCCATATCAAACAAACATAAATGTGTTGAATTGAAACGAAATTACCAATCTCTACATAAGCAGTCTAGGGGTGTCCGTTCAGGTCGGGTTTGGTTACCCGAAACCGAAATCGATAAGGACTTGAGGGTTTCGGTTGCCCGAAACCCGAAAATTTCTTATCGGGTTCAGGTTAGATTAAAGCAAAACCGAAACCCGAAGGCCTAAGAATACGTGTTGAGTTCTATTCATTGGAGGTTTTTAGCCGGAACCCAAAAAACCGATAAGCAAAACCGAACCCGAAACCGAAAAACCCAAAACAAACCCGAACCCGAAAAAACCCGAAAATATATATAATCGGATCGGTTTCGAGTAAACCCGAAAAACCAAACCCGAATGGACACCCCTAATAAGCACACAACAAACACACACATTTTTCAGAAACTGTACTCGTCTGAGTGAATCGACGGGAAGAAATAATGGTGGTTACAGAGAAGATAGAAGTAAGAAGCGCTTACCAGCTGGAACAGATCGAATAGATTGAGGAGAAACCGAAAGAAAAAGAGAGATCTAAAATCCGAAGACAAGTGAGAGTTGCAGGGAGCGACGGGAGGATATATATATACAAGGAGAAGAGGTTTGTTTGTTTTGTTTGGAGGTGGCGGAGGAGGGAGCGGCTGCGGTGGCGGAGATGTTTCGGGACGGCGGCGGCGGGAACAATGGGAATCTTTAGGAATTGGAGTTTTAACGTATAGAAACAAAACGAACAGAGCATTATTCTGTCCGGAGAGATTTCCGAGGGGTCGGATACTATGCTAACCCTTAAAGGGGTAGTGGTTTTTGACACCCTCCTCTTGATTGGTCACTTTTTCCATTTAATCATTTGATAAGTTGTATTAATGAAAGTTGCTTTTTACTTTATTTATTGTAATCTTGTAAATTGGGAAAGCCTTAATTGTGATAATAATTATGAATGGGGAAGGAGAAAAACGTTGGAGGAGGAAAGTGCCTTTTCAACTCCTATATTTCCCATATTCCCTCCCGAAAAAATAGCAACCCATCCCTCTCCTCTACAGAAATCGATGGTGGCCGGAAACAATCGAGTTGCTTGCCGACTGTGGGATCGCCTTCGACCTGCCTGGTGGGTTGCTCTTTGCCGAAGTACGAGACACACGGGAAGAAGAATAACATGAGGGCGGCAGCGAAGATGAAGAAGAACGTGAAGAAGAACACCTAGGGGGTTTCTCGTCGGCGGAGAACCCGTCGGAGATGAAGAACAACGTGAAGAAGAACACCTGGGGGGTTTCTCGTCGGCGGAGAACCCGTCGGAGATGATGAAGAACATGAAGGGCGGCGACGGATCATTTCTTACAGCTCCCTGTCGTGAACTGCAACCTCACAACGTCTGGGAGACGCGACACTCCCATGAGCATGTACCACTGATCTGGTACAACTACCACTGATCTGGTATATGTATCACTGATCTGGTACAAGTACCAGTGCAACTATTCAACCATATTTTCCACACCAAAATGTGACCATCCACTTGTAGTGTTAGATATATTGCACCTGTACAAAATTGAAACTCATCCTAAATGTTCTCATTTCAGTGTTAGATAGACTTTGGAGTGGTACCAGTGGAGTGGTACGTGTACCAGTGGAGTGGTACGTGTACCAGTGGAGTGGTACGTGTACCAGTGGAGTGGTACGTGTAACCATATGTCCTGTTTAGGCTTAAAAAATTGTGAAGACTTTATGTTTATTCACATTCGAAGGATAATTTATTGCTTTTGGCATTGTTGTTGGCATTTCCCTAATTTTGCAACCCATTTTGGAACACAGTTTTTGGCTACTAATGGAAAGTTCCTATTTTGTTGACTGATTGAAATGTTTATTGTGTTGCTTGCGCCATAATTATATTTCATGATCAAGTAAGTATGAGTATTGGTATATTGAGGACAGTCTTAATTAGTACCAGTTCAGTGGTATAAGTACCAGTATAGTGGTATAAGTACCAGTTAATTGATATGTATACCAGTCTAGTGGTATAATACATATTCAGTAGTATATATGTACCACTGAAGTAGTATGATTACCATTGAAGTTGTGCGAAGACCATTTCTATTCCATTACTCGTCGGCAAAGATATTTCCAAGAAATTGAAAGAAGTTAACCAATAATTACGACAAAGAAAAATAATAAAATCAATTCCAAACTTCAAAAGCGGAGAGACCACAATATTTCCATGACGATGTATTTCTTAGTTGACCCCTAGCGTATTGTTCCTTATACTGGCTCTCACGACGCCATTTTTTGTTGGTACCCGCACTCGAGGCAGGAGCTTGGCCTATCTCAACTTTTACCGTTTCCACTTCGTCATGGCCATTCCTGAGGTCATTGGGTAGGAAGACAATAATTAGAAATATCATTGAAGTGATAAAAATAATGTACCAGTCCATTTGTACATGTACCATTCTATGTGATAAAAATAATTCAGAATATAACCAATATACGTTATATAATTTATCTCCCTCAACCACAGTTCTTAAAAAATTGGGCACAGTTCATAATATGAAAAAAAACTGGATACAACAAATAGAAGTTGACAGGATATCACTATACTGGTACATCTATCACTCTACTGGTAAATGTACCAGTACTGTGGTACATCTATCACTCCACTGGTACATGTACCAGTCCACTGGTACATCTATCACTGGACTGGTACATGTACCAGTCCATTTGTACATGTACCATTCTATGTGATAAAAATAATCCAGAATATAACCAATATACGTTATATAATTCTGCCTCTCAAGTTGATTTCCTGCTGGCATCTCAGGACCAGTTCTCTTCGTCCTTGCCATTCCTGGTTTCATTGGAAGATAAGTCAATTCTACGAACTAACAAAAGTACCAGTGTAGTGGTACTTTCAAGAACAAAAAATAAGTTGTAAATATCACTGCAGTGATAGCCCTATAAACATAAACTTTACAACTAACTACCACTTTAGTGATATTTGAACGAATCCAGCGATAGACAATCATCAGCTTGTGAAGGATTTACCACTATAATGCTAGATATACAACTATACTTACACATCTACCACTAGAGTGATATACCACACTACCACTACAGTGATATAACTACCACTACAGTGCTAGAACTACCACTACTGTGATAGAACTACCACTGCGCAAGACAATCAAAAAATTTCATGCACTGCGCAAGACAATCAAAAAACAACATGCAATGCCGTAATGAAAGAGACGACAACAATAAAAGCATTCGGAGTATACTTGCCTCAGTTTAGGATGAATTAAAGCGGAAAATCACGCCGGCTATACTATCGTGGACGGGAATCGATCAAGCGGGTTCGAAGTCGATGGTTCGGGGGGGAAGACAGACGACTTCCGACGGTACGACCGCTGTTTGTG